CACAACATCTTGATCTACTCTTGAGACTCTCAGCTGTCGAGTCTCTCTCGTGATTTACTATACATATAACGTTAGTGCCAAAATTATTTGCAATGCTTTTGGACAGATGTCACTAATTGTCACGAAAAAAGGGCAATCGAGAATCTCGGCTCGAGATTCCAAATCGAATGCCGTTGAAGTGAGATCGAATGTTAGTTGTTCAAGAGCGAGAAGGCAAATGTGAGCCTTTCTCTCTCGACTCCCACGATTCTGTCCGAAATTACTTCGGGCATCTTCGGAGACTAGAGAAAGAGTGCATGCGTCAGTTTGCCTTTGTCGACTTTTCGAAACTGCACGAGCTCACGTACGCGTGATCTTGCATGTGTGAGTAGTGGACCCGGTGCTCGATCTGGCATTACCGAGCAGATCTGAGGAGGTTAACGAAAGCTCGACACCGGTCGTTTCGGTGTCCGATGGGGTCAGCGTCGATGAGCTTGTAATTCGAGTTCGACAGCAGTTAACCAAAGAGCTAATGCTTTTATCCACTCGTACGACTGGCTGGTAGACTAATCGAAAAGGGCGCGAATCGGCCAGCACAGATGGTGCGGAAAATCGTGAGTCGTTGGATTCCCAAAAGTTAGAATCATGGAAATCTCTGCAGTCTCGGTAAATAGGTAAATTCGATTAAATCTCAACAATCATAGCCCGAAAGCAATATAATTACGCAGATAATTGAGGTTACGTTACAATTTTATGTTTAACGCGTGTTACGTATGTATGTAACTCTGTTACGAGGTTATACTGACTTTATTTGTATCTGTACATCATACAGAGGAAATTGTGTCTATACATCGTGTTAAAATAGAAATCTAAAGAATCTCTATTGCATTGTATCGGAATGATGATCAAACCGATGAAATGAAATACGTGGTTCCGTACGTCTTTAACGTTGAAATTTACGAGAGCAAACAAGGGCACAGCGTACAATACGATGAGTGTTATTATCTATCGTACCGGGCTGACCACCGTAATACGATCGGCGATAAATTCATATTTTCGATGGAATCGACTTGAATACGCCGCGTCCTATCGACTAACCATCGAATCTTCCGTAACGCGATCGCCGATAAATTCATATTTCCGATTGTCTCCGCGGCGAGCAACAAATCGTAAAGTAACGGCGAGGGTGGCGCGGTCATCGCGTGCATATGCCCCGTCCAACGGAATCAAGCGTTCCGAACAATATCTGCCAATTATCGGACGATTGTGTCACGGTGCCAACTGTCGGTGTTGGTCAAGTGGCCGATCGGGGGAGGGAGTGACCGCTGGACGAATCGATGCACACGGTACGTATCCACGGAACGTCCACCCTTCGCGATCGTGTCCCTGCCATTGTTTTCGCAAGAAAGACGTCTCGCGGAACGCATTTTCGCTCCTACCGTGGCCCCGACCAGTCGCGGCGAACACGTAATTTTATGCGTGTTTGCTTTGCACCGGGGAGCACGCGCCAGCGTTTCTCAAACCAAGGCCCCCAGACTGCAACCATTTTATAAGTTCTATAAGTTTGTCGATGATGTTCATTTTTAAAGGTTGATGATCCTGTACTTTACATTTTACCTTGTTACTCTATAAGGGTATTTGGCCACGCCTGGGAAAAATTTTAATGGGGGATTTCAGAGGCCAAAATAAGACGAAAATCAGGAATACCAATTTGTTGATGGAAGCTTAACAATTAAATTTAAATATTTCAAATCGTTCTGGAAAAATTATTTTTAGTTGCACGGGTCAATTACAATCATTTTTAGTCATTAGACATACCTCTGAAATCTCACCCACTTTCGAGAAAAAAATTCGAGTAGATGTGAAATTTTTCGTTAAAATTAAAAATTTTCGAATCGTTTTAAAAAACTTATTTTTAGTTGCAAGAGTCATTTACAATGATTTTCGGTCATTAGCCATAGTTCCGAAATCCTATCCACTCTCGAGAAAAAAATTCGAGAAGATGTGAAATTCTTCGACAAAATTAAAAGTTTCCGAATCGTTCTAAAAAAATTATTTCTAGTTGCAGGGGTCAATTACAATCATTTTCAGTCATTAGACATAGTCTCGAAATTCTATCCATTTTTAAGAAAAAAATTCGAGTAGATGTGAAATTTTTCGACAAAATTAAAAGTTTTCGAATCGTCCTAAAAAAATTATTGATAGTTGTGGGGGTCAATTACAATCATTTTCGGTCATTAGACATAGTCCCGAAATCCTATCCATTCTCGAGAAAAAAATTCGAGTAAATGTGAAATTCTTGGACAAAATTAAAAGTTTTCGAATCGTTCCAAAAAAATTATTTTTAATTACAGGGATCAATTATAATGATTTTCGGTCATTAGACATAGACCCGAAATCCTATCCACTCTCGAGAAAAAAATTCGAGTAGGTGTGAAATTTTTCGACATAATTAAAAATTTTCAAATCGTCCTAAAAAAATTATTGATAGTTGTGGGGGTCAATTACAATCATTTTTGGTCATTACACTTACCCCCGAAATCCTACGCAGTTTCGAGAAAAAAATTCGGGAAGATATGAAATTTTTCGACGAAAATAAAAAATTTCATATCATTTTGGAAAAATTGTTTTCGGTTGCGGGGGTCAATTACAATCATTTTTGGTCATTACACATACCCCCGAAATCTTGCGCATTTTCGAGAAAAAAATTCAGAACGAACGAAACCTTAACAAATAATCATAATAATAATCAACAAATTGGTATTCTTGATTTTCGTCTTATTTTGGCCTCTAGAATCTCCCATTAAAAACACCCTGTATATCTTGTTACTCTATAAATGAATTTTATTTATAGCCATCAAAAGTGTTCGCGATGGACAGTATGAAGGTGAAGTTTGAGAAACACTGTTATATATTATATGCACAGGGAGCTTTTCTCCCTGCTGGTTGTTTGTCCAGGAGATAGGCTGACCACCGGACAAATCCACTCGACGATGACGCGTGTGCGTCGATCAAGCTGGAATTATGAATAAATATTTGTAGCTCGTCGGTAGGAAAATTTGTATCGATCCAGGGTCACGTCTCTCGTTCCGGGCAAATCGGCGAGAAGCTGTCGAAAGTGAGCCTCGTTCGACGCGTTTCCGAGTGTCATCGTTCGCCGCCGCGGCTTCGATGCATAATGACACACACGTTCATGCGCGAGCAACTCGATGGCGCCACGTGACTTCACGTGCAGAAGTCGCGTGCAGACCGGAAGCAAGAGACCGGATACTTAAGTTCGAGTCACGGCCCCGTGCTATAGAACGATACACGTAACTAAACAGCAGACACGTATGATCTATAACGATAATAGTGCCTCCATGACTCACGCTGTGTATGCATTTTTACATTCTAACCCATAAGTTAAGAAAGTGTCGTGTGCACTAACTTTCGTAAAATTTGTTTTCCAGCTGTATTCGTTGCAAGAACGACCAAACGAATTACGGAAACGGGATCTCCGCGATCTCGAAAGAAGAATCGCAGATGCAAAGGCTCCGTAGAATAGTTTCCCTTCGTAATTCGCGGGAAGGATCCATGGGGGTACCTGTGGGAACGCGGTCCCTCCGTCTGAGCAACAGGAATTGAAAGGAACGGAGGGGGCATATAATGCTCGCGGGGCAAGGACTCCTCAGGACGGGCGACGCGAATTCGGACCACACCGGGCGAACAAGAATGCAGTCGGCTCGCGGCGGAACACGCACAGGCACGCGATCCACTTTTTTCCCCCCCCCTCTTTCTGGCAGCGCTCCACGGACGTGTGCTGGTCGTGTGCGGATTCTCGCGAGATGTCCTCGCCGCGTGATACGACTTGGCTAACAGGACTGCTATTGAGACTAACATCGCGTTGTCGTAAAGCCCAGTATAGCTTTAAGAAATAATTAATTCGTGGGGACAAATCACGCGAATTATTTATTGTATGCGAATGTTCCTAGAACAATTGTCCCTTTCGATTATTCTATCTATTATTCTATGGTTAAGGAAGCAAGTACAGGTAGCCCTCCTATAACACGGTAGAAGGCTCCTAGAAAATTCTGTGTTGTGTGAAACCTTGTTATATGAGACTCAGACCCAATAGAAAAAGGGAAGTTACGTTTTGAAAATTTATTAAAAACAAGTATTTTTTTTTTAATTCTACATAAGCAGCTTAATTTTTATGAAGAATATAAATGTATCTGTTACACGAAACAAAAAATATTTTAATTTAACGCAAACTTAATTTAATAAATTATAATTTGTTTGCATTGTTTCATGTAAAGTCACTATAATTTATTATTTTAAGGTAATTTAGTTTTTAAATATGTTAAGCAAAAATCATATTAACCAGTGCCTGTAGAAGTACAGTCTTGCACAGAGATTTTAGCAATTTTCTTATCGTGTTATAAGATGCCGTGTTGTAGGAGGTTTCTCGCAATTTATGAATGATGTTATAGCGAAACCGTGTTATAGGATGCCGTGTTGTAGGAGGGCTACCTGTACTCCGTTTCCAGATATAAGTAGAGATAGGAATATTCCAATTTTGATGATTTTGGGCGAATATTGGTTTGATCGACTCGCGAGAGAGTATTAATCGCCGCGACTGATCGGTCCGCAGCGAAAAGTTAACGATACGATTAGTCAGCTTGGTTCCCAGGCACACGGTCGCCGATAATCGTGCGAGCGCGTGCTACGTACGATTCCTGTGTGAACTTTTATCGTGATCGCACCCTCCCTCGTAGACGCCCACCCTCCACCCTTCTCGCGACCACGCTAGACCGTGCGAGTTCTGTGCGCCGAGGGGGATGCACGGGTGGCAGCGAAGTGATTTCATGGTGGCACACATATCAATTTGCGGGATCGGGGGAAATCGTGGGACCGATTTGGACTCTTGCTTCCTATCCTATCTATGTCTCCCGGATTGCTGTCGTCAAATATCGATCCGTTAACAAACAATCATGTCAGTTTTTAATTTCGATACCGACCATCCACGAGTATATTCGCGAAAAGAAAGCAGGGAATTTGTAAAAAATATCGATCGATCGGGCAGTAAGGAATATCAAGTTTATACAACTGTTATATCCACAAAGTGGTTTCCACCAACGAATGACCAGTTGTTATCTTTTTGCCTGTCTGAGTTGCGACGAACGGCGGAACGAAACACAAAAAGGGGAAAAGTTAATGGTAGAAATCAGAGAAAGTTAACCTTCCTCGGTTGTATGCCACCTCTTACGCGACATTGCAACTTTACTACACGCGAGACGTGACAAGAATAAACAAGTGGTATGCTTGATCGCTGCACATCTGAGTAGCTACATACGTGCTGCAGTGCACAAGACGCCCAGTGCACCGTCTAGTTTTGTACTTTAAAACTAAAACTGTACCTCGGAGCTAAACTTCAAGCTACCTCAAGGTACCTCAAAGCTACTCAAAACCAAACTTGTACCTCAAAGCTAAACTTCAAGCTACCTCAAGGTACCTCAAAGCTACTCAAAACCAAACTTGTACCTCAAAGCTACTCAAAACCAAACTTGTACCTCAAAGCTAAAATGCAAATATCTTCAGACACAAAGCTAAATCAGTTATTCTACAAAACTCTCTACACTTTCAGATCTTTCTACCCTGCAAGATCTCAAGAAAATTACTTCATCAGACTTCCGAGAGTAGATCCATCGACGGAGCGATAAGGCACAATCATCGACCAGCGTCAAAAGCTAAACAACCGGTACAGTTTCCGTTCCCGATAATCGATGGGCCAAACGCGCCAGATTTCGTGGAACTCCCGGTCCGAAAAGCTAAGCGCCAGAGACGTTCCCACGAAAATCGCCCCTTTCGAACGCCGCTCCCCCTTCGAGTCCCCCGATCTCTCTCCGTCCCTCCTCCTCCCCTGGTCCGGAGCGTGTGTGGGGCTCACGGGGAGACGTTCGCCATTCACCTTGGCTCGAGGAGCGCAGAGAAGTTACCCCCACTCCGTCCTGCCGCGCACCTAGTCCCCCCCCACCATCGGGATACGGGGCACGCGGTCGTGTGTCGTCCCCGGGTACTCCCGCACACGACATACGTCGGCCGCCACGCGACCAGTGCACACGCATGCGAGTGCATCTCGCAGCGAGCGACACGCCAGCAGCCGCGTGCAACCGACGGACACTGTCTCCGCGAGGACCTTGCGACCGATTCCTCGCCGCTTCTTCGGACGTGCGCGCACGCGACCGCGACCGTCGCCAGGAAGCCGCGGCACGTGAGCCCCGATAAACTTCCTACGAGTAACAAGTGTCCAGGAGATTGCTCCTTTCGACGATTATCAACACAACGCCTGACCAGAGTTTATCGAATTTTGTCTTCGAGTGACAATTCAGTGAAGTTAGTTTCGAGTTTCGGTTGTCAACGCTATGATAGATCCACGAGACTCTGTTAACAGTATGGGACCTATCTTGACCAGGTAGCCACTCGGTGTCAGTTGTCCTCAGCTCCGACTGTTCGTCACCGTGAATAATCATCGTTGATAATCGAAGAGCAACATGTGGAGAGTAGTGGTTGCGCGTTCCGACGAGAACAGCACGTTGCTGTCGTCGGAGATCGCCACGGGGCCCGTCGGTCCCAGCCACATTTCCGGGCTGCCTGGACCACCTTCCGGCCACCACTGGGGCTACCCACCCCCGCCCCATCCCTCTTATCAGCCTCAGCATCCCGACATGCGCCACCATCACGACATGCGACCGCCTCACGACCTCAGGCACCCCACGGGCCCGGAACTCAGGCCCCAGGAGCTCAGGCACGAGATGCACAGGCCCGATCTCAGGCACCCGGAGATGCAGAGGCACCAGGAGCTGCACAGGCCCGAGATGGCCAGGCACCAGGACATCAGACACCAGGAGATGATGAGGCCCGACATGGCCCCGGAGATGAGGCCCAGTCACGAGTTTCCTGAACTGAAGATAGATGTGGCGGACATGAGGAGTCAGGAGAGCGGTCAGCAGCAACAGCAACAGCAACAGCAGCAGCAACAGCAACAGCAACAGCAACAGCAATCGCAACAGGGACAGGCTCATCAACAGAGGAACCTGAAGAGGGCTATGAGCGACTCTGATTGCGACGATGTTTTCTCCGAGGAGAGCGGCAAAGAACCGTACGTATAATCGAGACTAGAAGTTGTGAGTTGTTTTAAGTTTTTCGAGGAGATATTGCACATTTTTATTTTAAGTCCTCCAAGGAGATATTGCACATTATTATTTTATGTTTCTTTCCAAAAGGAATTGTGTATTTGAGGTATACTTTCTACTGCTTATATTGTATTTATGTACAACGTATGTAGAAATGGCTGAAGTTGAATGGGAACCTTACTTTGTGGAATACTTGAAAGGTCCTGTTAAAGGCAAGATAAAGACAAGGAACTTCTGTGATAATCTACCTAATCTAAGGGATATCTACCAGTGTCTAACAGACATAGAAAGGGATTCTCTTCTAGAGGCCTCTTGTACATTGAAGAATATTGTTTGATACTTTGCATTCTTACAATTTTCGCTTGTACTTTGAACCTTACTTTATGGAATACTTGAAAGATCCTGTTAAAGACAAGACAAGGTATTTCTGTAATAATCTACCTAATCTAAGTGATATCTACTAGTACCTAACAGACATAGAAAGGATTCTAGAGGCCTTTTGTATTTTAAAGAATAATGTTGTCTAAAATATTGTTTGATAATTTGCATTCTCACAATTTTTGCTTGTACTTCACAGAGGTAGAATTAACATGCAAGCACATTCTATGGAGAATAAGAGGATTCAAAGAGCAAGCTTATTGCAAAAGTTATTCTTGTCAATTATTCACAAATGAGAAGAAAGAAACTATGGCCTCTGGATACCAAGCATTTTTGCCCGCCATCGATAAGAAAAAGAGTTGTTTAAAATGTGCAATATTTTCTGGGATACTAATAACTCATTTCTATATACGTTTCTGAATCGTAGTTAATCAACGTTTCGCAAGAAGCGTACCTAACATATGTCGAGTCCGTTTACAATAACGCGGTAATTAACATTTCATTGTTCTCTCGCGCTTGAAAGGACCAACCCTTCGGGGGAATTCGTCGTCTGGAAATTAACGTTTTCGAAAATGAGCAGTGTTTCTCAAACTCCAGACCCTGGACGCCTCCATAAAAGCAAACATTCGGTCCAGAGTGTCACTCGAGCCTCCAGACGAGAATATTAAAACTGAAATTCATTCAGAGACAATCTTGTGAACAAATTCTCCTCGAATATTTTCCTCGAGGGGTAGGACACTTGGAACCTCGAAAGATGCTCGATAAATTGATAGATTTCCTATTGCAAATTGGGGTGTGCGAGATCCTGATTGGGATGGGAATTTTTCTCGAAATCGGGATGTCTGAGTTAGGTTTGGGTCAGGTCTGGGTTAGATTTGGGTTAGGTCTGGGTTAGGTCTGGGTTAGAATTCCCAAGAATTTCGAAATCTCGAAAACAATCATGATTTCCGCGAATTTTCAGGATCTCGAAACCATTTGGGATTCCCAAGAATTTCAAAATTCCGAAAACAACCATAATTCCCGCGAATTTTCAGGATTTCAAAGCCATTTGGGATTCCCAAGAATTTCAAAATCCCGAAAACAACCATAATTTCCCTAGAATTTTCAGAATTTCGAAGCCACTTGGGATTCCCAAGAATTTCGAAATCCCGAAAACAACCATAATTTCGCTCGAATTTTCAGGATCTCGAAGCCATTTGGGATTCCCAAGAATTTCAAAATTCCGAAAACAACCATAATTCCCGCGAATTTTCAAGATCTCGAAGCCATTTGGGATTCCCAAGAATTTCAAAATTCCGAAAACAACCATAATTTCCCTCGAATTTTCAGGATTTCAAAGCCATTTGGGATTCCCAAGAATTTCGAAATCCCGAAAACAACCATAATTTCCCTCGAATTTTCAGGATCTCGAAGCCATTTGGGATTCCCAAGAATTTCGAAATCCCGAAAACAACCATGATTTCCGCGAATTTTCAGGATCTCGAAGCCATTTGGGATTCCCAAGAATTTCGAAATCCCGAAAACAACCATGATTTCTGCAAATTTTCAAGGTCCTGAAGCCATTTGGGATTCCCAAGAATTTCAAAATCCCGAAAACAACCATAATTCCCGCGAATTTTCCGGATCTCGAAGTCATTTGGGATTCCCAAGAATTTTAAAATCCCGAAAACAACCATAATTCCTGCAAATTTTCAGGATTTCGAAGCCATTTGGGATTCCCAAGAATTTCAAAATCCCGAAAACAACCATAATTCCCGCGAATTTTCAGGATTTCAAAGCCATTTGGGATTCCCAAGAATTTCAAAATCCCGAAAATGTTCAGAATTCCCGACATTTTAAGTTTCTCCATACTTCCAACAATAACCAGAATCCAAAAGCCATTGCGTTCTCGAAGATTACATATCTTCTTAATCGGGAATGTTTATGTCAGTAATATTGTAAAAAATAATTGCAAATTTCGATAATTCTGACAACGCAGAATTTTAATATCGGTAGATATTTCTGAACGGATAATCAATCACACAATTGTGTTCCGAAAATCCCAGTTATTTTCGGGAATTCCGAACATTTTTGGGATCCTGTATATTCTCGAGAATCCCAAATATTATTATTATTATTATTATTATTTTTATTATTCATTTATTAATGGGTATTAAACCCTTTACAAAGATGTAATATGCAAGGAACTTCAGATATGGATTTACATAGTCAAACATTATCGCATTATTAGTGAACGCAACAAAATAAATTAATTTACAATATGTTGCAAGGATAATTTTAGATTTAATTTACTTTAGCCAATATTTCTGTGAAACTTATAGTTTCGAAGATATCTGAGGTGCTAACAGTTGTTGCCCCAATCTGTATAATTGTTTCTCTAATTGAAATTAAAAAGCAGTCGAAACGACTTCCTCGGGCAGTCCAGTGTCAAAATAGACGAAGAATCCGTTGTTTTCGGCCGGCGGATGAATTTCGAAAGGGTGATCGCGGTCCGATGGATCGCGATGGCGTCGCCCGTGGGTGTTGAAAAGGCCGTTCGAATATTCGTAACGCAACCGGCGGTATCCGTCTGGTACTCACCCCCGTTCTTTGTTTCCCTTTTCTCGGTGCAGTTGCAACTCGCCGGGAGGCGATTCCTGTCAGCACGCGTCGCGGAAGCGCAGAAGGGGGATGATCGAGAAGAAACGTCGCGACAGAATAAACGCGTCCCTCGGCGAGCTGCGGAGATTGGTGCCGGCCGCGGCTAGGGATCCACACAGCGGCAAATTGGAGAAGGCGGAGATCCTCCAGCTCACCGTCGAGCACCTGCGGACACTTCGAAATAAAGGTGAGCCATCGAGCGATCCGACAGTAACCAGAGAGAAGAGAAAAAAAGAAAACGGAACCTCGCGTAATAAAGGCCCCCGAAAACAGGAAACGATCCGTTATAACCACTCTTAAGCTAGCAGGACCAAAGCAGCAGAATCACGTCGAACCTGGTGGAATATTTAGTACTTATTTTTTACTAATTTTTACCACAAATAATAATTTTGTACCTGGTACCGTTGCCAAGGAAATCGGAATGAATTCTGATGAAGACTAAAGACCGAACTCCCTCGATCTGTACCAAAAAGAACGGTTGAACAACGTAACAGTTCCGACGAACCTCGGTTACAGATTAGCGCGAATATTCTTTTCTTTAATATTGTTTAGGCCTGTTATAAATTGTTCTCTGTACATATTGTGTACTTTTCTTATTTTTTATTCAGTGATAAGAGCTTCACCCGTCATTTATTAGTTTGCAACAACGAAACCTTTTTTCGTGGCACGTATAAAGACATATAGCCATAAAAACTCTGCGGTTTTCTTTAATTTTTTCACTTTATTTGTCTACAATAGTTTGTCAGCGCTAAATGTATCCACTTTGATTTATTCATTTTCATTAATTTTAACTTTTGGTCCTGCCAGCTTAAGGGGTCTGGTAACTCTAGAATATTGAAAAATTCGATTTCTTTTTTTGGCTTAAATAATAGTTTGAAGCCTTAAAAACATTATGCGAAAGGTCTCAGTGTCGGAACAATGTTTTTGCTGAAAATTTCGAGCCCCAAACGATGACGTGTATCTGCGTCCTGTAGCGCGATGCATTTTCCTCGGAACTATGTTTTACAAAACGGTGTGCAGCATTACTCCAGTTCTAATTAATCAATTGCTTTGAAAATTTACAGTTATCTTTACTATTATATTTATTAGGCATTGACGATCCGTTTTTTCAAAATTCTCAAATAATTCAGCAAAATATTCGTAATAAGAACTCGTTTTTGTGTTAAAATTCGATTTTAAGTTTCAAATATCTGCCACATTGTTAATTTTTCTATAAATTTAAATGTCTCATCGTCAATGCCTAGGACATTTATCATAGTTAATGGAATATTTCGGTTTTTGTTGTACATAACAACCATTTCACCACAAAAAGAAGTGGCTCGGGAACATGGCGCCGTGTAGGCTTAATTATAAATATTTTTTAAACATTGCCAAGGGTTTCTTTCAACATTTGTTATACCTAAATACAGTGCAAAGTTTCAGGATAATTGAATGCTTACTTTATCTTCGGTGTTGCTTAAAAAAATGCCTCGTTTTTCATACCGCTAGAGGTACCAGACCCCTTTAGAGAGGTTCCGTTATACGCGAAACAGGACATCGGAGCCCAGCTTCCGGTTTCGAAGATTTCTCCAATCTCCCCTGCCCCTGGAAACCCTGGAACCCCTGTTAACCCTTCTCGAAAATTAATTTCTCGAAGGGGACCTTTTTTCCTTTTTTTGGGGGGCCTCGAAATTTTAAACGATCGCTGAAATTGTCAAAAGCGTCAACCTGTTGGTTTCCGTGTTCCTGCACCCCGATACCATTTCTCGTTCGTCGTTCACGTCGTCCCTCGTGAACCGGAAGACACCTGTTGACCGAACGTCGCGAACCTTCGTAATTGTGACTCGACTAACCGAACCACCATCTGTCGGGGCGTTAAACGCGTTTAGTATTCGCGTCGGTTCCTGATCGGGGGAACAATCTCATTTGCAGTGGTTTCCAGCAATTATCGAGCCACGTTCACCCTCGGAAAAATGGCGGGAAAGCAAAGTTTGAAACGAAAGATTTCCCAGGAAAAATATAACTCTGAGTTATTGGAGCAGAGTAAAGTTACGAAATTAAATGATCGGTTCCCTTGCTGTTCCTCGATTTTTTTCAATTTAGAAGATCTAACTTGTCGAGAAAAATATAACATGGTAAAATACGAGGTCTGTTAAAAAAATAATCGAACTATTTTCATTGTGTGTTCGTTATAGCAACGAACAATTGACATCACTGCAATTGTCATACTCTTCCGCGTAATTGACGTTTTTAGAAATTGTTTGCATCTTGTTTAGTTTTCGAGTTATTGCTAGTTGAGTGCAACGTGATTCGTGGCGATTTTGCAACGTGAAATTTTGCGTAAAACTGGGGAAAACATTCACGAAATCGTTCGAATTTTCGAAGCAAAATCTTAGGGAAGTGATGCTTTTCCCCCGCACGCAGTGTTACGAATAATTTATCAAATTTAAAAATGATCGTCGATCAATTGAAAAGATGATCCTCAATCTCGAAGGCCTTTCCGGACACGGTTTCCCATGCTTCAAATACTTGACTATGGGGCCTCTACTTACCCTATGATTTTTGCCAAAGTTATCGTTTACATCCTATATATTATATATAACAGTACGTTCTTAAATATGAAGTGAAAAAGAATTGATAATTTTGAGGTATCATATGAGACTCCCCCCTTAACGCTGCCCAAAGATAGTCGAAACTGTGTTAGGGTTCCCGAGGAAAAAGGACATCGAAAATTTGGTCATTTTTCCATGGTTTTGGGGGCGCGATGAAAGAGGAAGTAGCGCGGGAATCGTCGCGAGTTTGAATGGCTAATACCGCCGGGCGAGATATCCCCGGCGAAGCAGGTGTTAGGAGCCGAAACGTAGATCCTGTGGGAAGCACAGGAAGTCAACGACTCTTCCGAAGTGGTGTTCCCACGATTGGTGGCGAGGTTGGTAGTGGGGTGTCCCGCGCAGCACCCTTCGTCAAGGAGCCACCGACTCCCTTGCCCAAGGCTGGGACAGATGTCGAACCCTGTGGGAAACCGACTGCTCCCTGTCTCACTCTGCAAACGCGGGTACACGCTTACTATCGGCCTGTATCGACCTACGATCTCGTTGTTTGCAAATGCAGCGCCGAGAGAAACGTAAACGTGGGGTGGAACGTTAAATATGATATTTCCAATTAACACATCGACTGCCAGGCAAGAACCATAGAATTCTTCGCGGGGACCAAAACTTTCATTCTAGACAATTATAAATAGAAATATTTTTATTAATAAAATTGATGAAATTTGAGCTTTGCAGAGGGTTGTCTCAACCCCTAGAATTCGTACCTTACTTTAAGTATTTCTTATATTCTTGCGTATTAACTGAATTCTGTAGTTTCTTGAAAATTAAAATTTTCCATAAATGCATACACATCCGCAGTCTAATTATAAGCTACATAACTTAAAATTTATTTTTGTAACCTCGCTAAAATTCATGAATTCTGTTTAAATCTCAACTTTAACATTTCATCTTGAGAGTTAATTGTTCTAGTTCCATAGTGAAGAATCCTGTCACCCATATATGGATGACGTGGCAGTCAAAGTGTGTTAAGAAATAAGTGATACAGGGGTGAAGCTTCACCGATCCTCCTTCGACCCGTTAACCAGCAATACTAGTAACATTTTCTACCTAAACTCTCTCGACAACTGAGAGAACTACGGTCAGAGTTACTCGTTCATCCCTACTGACTGATTTGCTTTTATTTCTTTATGTATTTGTAAATTTTTGCTAACAATTTTATGGAACAAAGTGTACATAGAGCTAGGACACCCCTGACCAGTGTTTTCAAAATTTATTTGATCTCTCCAGCTGGAAAAATAACCTAAGAGTATCGTGCGCCTTGTAACATATTAACCATGACTTTCGTTTTCACCCCATAACTACCCCCACGGTGGAGATTTCAAGTTGAAAATTGGCACACAGGGTCTTCTTTGGATAAGCTATCGAATGACCCATCGTTCGTTCAATTCGGTTCGGGATCAAATTTGACCCCCCTAATTTGGAAATACCCTTTCCAAAAATTCGGTCGAGTAAATTTTTTACAGGTTTCATTAGAAACTACGAATGGATCTATTTTGACTGGTTTGGTAGTTCCAGCGTTAACTACGTCGTGAGTTCAGAGCGTCGGTCACCGGTGACCACCGGGCGTTGACGAAGAAAGGTTTGAGAAACACTGGACCAAGAGGTCCAGGGCATATCGTGGGACAGAGCGGTGGCTCTCTGTGTTCGTTCAGAGGACGCGGGGTGCGTGCAAGAGTGCATGTGTCCCGGTCTACGGGGGTCTAAATGGTTCCCACGCTACCTGTCCCATTCCACGGTGTATACAATATGCTGCCGGCTGCTGAACCCGAGGCACCCATCTCGTTTCCTCGGTTCACGCCACGGTCCGTTCCGTCCTGCCAGAGAACTCGTCCTCTCACCCTTCTCGATCTTCTTGCGGCCTGCTTTTGCCGCCGTCCGCGGGATCACCTGCCCCGTCGAACGATTTCCGCGCGAAAAGCTTGCCAATAATTGGCCCTAGCGCCTCGTCCCGGACCAGAAATACATTCTCGAGGGATTACGACTGGTCGATGGGATGAAAAATAACCCAACGTAGCTCCTGGACGTTCTTTCCGAGGATGTACTCTGTTTTATGGATCTTTGACACGCTATTAACGATTGAACAACAAATGTAACACAACGAAGCTATGTCAAGTTCATTTCTCATGGCAAGAACACTATTGAGGTGCTGATAACACAGTCCTTTGAGGTTCTTTGTAACAACTACTCAGAGTAAAAGTTGTAACAGCAAATGTACCACCTATATCTCTTTCTTGGATCTTTGACAAGCTATTAACGATTGAACAACAAATGTAACACCTAGTACAGGTTGCAACAAAGCTATTTCTCATGCAAGAACACTATTGAGGTGCTGGTGATACAGTCCTTTTAAGTTCTTTGTAACAACTACTCAGAGTAAAAGTTGTAACAGCAGATGTACCACCTATACCCTCTCTCTCACGGATCTTTGACAAACTATCAACGATTGAACAACAAATGTAACAAAACGAAGCTAAGTCAAGTTCATTTCTCATGGCAAGAACACTATTGAGCAGCTGATGATACAGTCCTTTCAGGTTCTCTGTACCAGGTATTCAAAGTAAAAATTTCCCCCAATAACTGTTTTAAGAACCCAGATTATAAGCATATAATTAATTGCTTCAAAAGCTGTTTTCTCAGTAAGAGTATAAACAATGTTTGGTGTTTGAAATTGCAGGACCAGAGGGCTACGACAGCACTAAGCTGGCGATGGACTATCACGCGGTGGGTTGGGGGGAGTGTGCAGCAGAAGTGGGTCGTTATTTAGTGACGATGGAGGGCCTGGACGAACGGGACCCGCTGAGGTTACGACTGCTCTCTCACCTGCAGAGCTTCCATCGCGAGCATCCGCCGTCCGCGGTGCCGGCCACAGTGCCACCGGCCACCTCGCTGACGTCCACCACCTCGACGAGCAGCTACGAGCCAGCGAGCACGGTTTCCACGGGAATGCCACCTGGAACGGGGACCATGCCTTCCCTTCTGGGTGGAACCACGCTCGGGTGGGGCCAATATCCGGGACAGTATCCTCAGCAGCAACACGGGAAACCGTACAGGCCTTGGGGCGCCGAGCTGGCCTATTGAGAGACGACAACCGGTCCTTGGCCGACTCTGAACCCGATTCGGTGAAACTGTGCTTTGGTTACGCGACTGACAATCGCGGGAATAACGAAAACGTAGAGGATAATGCAAGCGTTAACACGTGCAGAGCTTCTGGAGGATGATGCTTCTGAGTAAAATTGAGATTTAGCGATTGGAATCGTTTGGGGGAGGATTATCTCTTGAAGCAAGGTTTCCCAACTCATAGCATAGACACAAGGAGCTACGGGGACTCGTGTCCCTCCAATTTCCAGGATAGTATCCTCAGAAGCAACATGGGAAACCGTACAGGCCTTGGGGCGCCGAGCTGGCCTATTGAGAAACGACAACCGGTCCTTGGTCGACTCTGAACCCGATTCGGTGAAACTGTGCTTTGGTTACGCGACTGACAATCGCGGGAATAACGAAAACGTGGAGGATAATGCAAGCGTTAACACGTGTAGAGCTTCTGAAGGATGATGCTTCCTAGTGGAATCGAGATTTAGCTATTAGAATCGTTTGGAGGAGGATTATCTCTTGAAGCAAGGTTTCCCAACTCATAGCATAGACACAAGTAGCTATGGGGGCTCGTGTCCCCCCTCCATTGGTACAAAAAATGTATCTGAAATTGATTGGGAACTCTTAGTTTAGAGTAATAAGTCTAGAGCTTTGATGAGAATGGACCTAGAATTTAGATTCCACATCAGATTTGTTTTACCAATAGCATTGTAATGGAGAGGAGAAAATGTTTGACAAATGTAGCGAAGAGCTTTGGAGAAAATGGCCCTGATTAAAATTCAGGCGACTCTAGACAAGTGCTTCTAACGATGATGGACCAAATGAAATGAAATAATATTTTTTACAAGCCATTTTTATAGAAACGACGCACGAACGCGTCTTAGGAGTTCAATCGATCAAAGCATCGATTGTTTCCTTATGTGTGATACCAATGATAGTCATGCAAGTATGTACCTAATTAGCGAGCGAGAAAGATATTATTTATTGTTTACCGGCGACGTTGTACAGTGTACATATTGTAAATAGCACACGTCTATTTAATAACTTTTTTCTATTTGTCGTTCCGTTTGTAACGAACGAAGTCTGATTTTGTACCGGAAAAAAAAAAATAATGTAAAATGCAACTGGAAGAACAAGTGCCATTACACGTACGTGTGGATGTATGCGCGTGGAAGAAACGTTCAAAATATTTTTACAACGAGCATTTGTAATAAAATAACGACGTAAAGGAATTGTGTTTATTGTTGCAACCCTTCCTTCTCGAATTGTGGTTTATGATATAATTGTTTAGATCTTTATGGAAATATTGTTAATGTATTTGGCGAGATTCGCCGAGAAAAATGAGCCCAAACTCGACCACGATCGGATTATATTCAACTACGGGTTATTGTACCGAACAACTTTCGAGGTTTGATTAAAAAAAGGGGTTGATTTATTTTTGAAACGCAAATTTATCACGAAATAAGGAGATAGAGTTTGATAGAACCAACGACGCTAGTTGGAATCTTGAAAATTGTTCGAAATAAGTATGGTAACGTGCGATTTTTCACGGCAAATATGGTCCCCTCCCTCTCTCTTTGTCCCTCAGAACGAGATTTACCACATCCTTTCGAATGCCGCGCGTATTCTTATGCAAAGGTGCACCTCGCAGCTTGCATTCCGTCCGCCATAGAAGAACAAAGCATGGCGCCCCATGGTTCCTCCCGCCGTCGCAGGATGCGAACCAGTTTCGCGACTCGGTTAATCCCCCGGTAAAGAGCGCCTCCGCAAAACGGGAAATTCGCGAGACCGGGTAACGATCGGCGGGAACAATTAGTCGGTCGGAGGTTGCTTTTTTCTTTCAGGGATATTCAGAAACCACGGGGGAGCGAAACTAATTCTCGAGGAGGAGGGGGGAGGAGGAGCCATCGCCTGAGCACGTGGCCATTGTTCGTACCCGAATTCGCCCCGGCTATGCGCGCTTAATTCTCTTTGGTCACGAATCCGTACCGATCGTTGCTGCTAATTGCGCGAACGCGTGTTACCCCGTTTTGTTAAACATTTTAGACCTCGAAACGTAAAATACCAGTTATTACACACGGTATATTGTTGGTAAGGAATTTTTTTTCTCGAAAAGGGATAGGATTTCGTGACTATGTCTAATGACCGAAAATAATTGTAATTGACCTACGCAACTAAAAATAATTTTTTTAGAACGATTTGGAAATTTTTAATTTTGTCCAAAAATTTCACATCTACTCGAATTTTTTTCTCGAAAATGAGTAGAATTTCGAGAGTATGTCTAATGACCGAAAATGATTGTAATTGACCCCGGCAACTAAATATAATTTTTTTAGAACGGTTTGATAATTTTTAATTTTGTCGAAAAATTTCACAACTATACTAATTTTTTTCTCGAAAATGGATAGGATTTCGAGGATATATCTATTCATAAAAAATGATTGTAATTGGCCTCTGCAACTAAAAATAATTTTTCCAAAACGATTTGAAAATTTTTAATTTTGTCGAAAAATTTCATGCCTACTCGAATTTTTTTCTCAAAAGTGGATAGGATTTCGATACTATATCTAATGACCGAAAATGATTGTAATTGACCCCTGCAACTAAAAATAATTTTTCTAAAACGATTTGAAACTTTTTAATTTTGTCGAAAAATTTCACGCCTTCTCGAATTTTTTTCTCGAGATTGAGTAGGATTTCGAGACAATGTCTATTCACCAAAAATGATTAAAATTGACCCCCATAACTAAAAATAATTTTTTTAGAACGATTTGGAAATTTTTAATTTTGTCGAAAAATTTCACACCTACACGAATTTTTTTCTCGAAAGTGGATGGTATTTCGAGACAATATCTAATGACCGAAAATGATTATAATTGACCCCTGCAACTAAAAATAATTTTTTTAGAACGAATCGGAAACTTTCAATTTCGCCGAAAAATTTTCCGATTTTCCTACGATCTTTCTCGGTTCCTTCCACATAGCAAAGCACCACAGTATATTCTAAATGCTTCAGTTTTTAATTTTAATATCAAAAACAGCGATAATAATATTTGGACAAAGACTAAGACTGATCAAATTTAAAATAATTGCAACAATTGTAGCGCGCCAAAGGTATCGAAAAATAAACAAATAGACGTTCAGAGTTAGCTGGGAGGAAATAGAAAAAATATAATTACAGTGCAAAGAACAGTCAGGAAACTCTGTCGCAAATCATGTTAGGCGACGTTAGGCGTTTTCGCGGTTCGATCGATCATGCGTCCAGTGCATTAAAATAGGAAAGGACGTTCGATAGGAAGTCTCTGGTCGACGAGGGTCACGGGTACTCCATATTTCGTCGATAAAACTATTTTATTTATGACATTCGCATCCATTAGAAAGTCACAGCCTCGTCGGACATACTTACGGAAAAATATCGAGACGCATCCATATACATCTATTTACACCTGCACGACGTTTATATACATTCACATATTTATTTACATACAAGTTTCTAACGCAACGGGAAATCATAGTCCGGGTTTGCTCTCGCGGGGACAGAATTCCGCGGGAGGATACGAAAAAAGTTCGCCTCGGTCGCAAGGATACCGGTGCTTTTGAGCAAAAGTGCATAAAACAAGACGCCGTATAGAAAAGTATTTTATTCCGTAGTCTTTTTAGTTCTTGATTCCGCGACAAGTACGCTCTAACATCGATTGTGCCGTTGTCGGTTCGAAAGGAAAGCTACGCGATTGGCAAAGGTACGAAAAAATGGCTACCATTGACGGTTCGTTTCGTAAGCTAAATTGTGCGACTTCCACGATAATTAGAAAACGAAACGGTGGTAACGCGATACTTGAAAATTTTTCTGGTTTCTAGGATTCTTGGATGTCGACGATGAAAAACGAATCGAAGAATCGTCTACTGCGCCAGAGGTTCCCAAAGTTCGGTTAAAAAATTAGCTCGGACCTGTTTTGAGTTGTCGCCAATTTATGATTATTTTGTTATTTTTCTTTTTAATTCCATATTAAAATGAGGTTGAAACACTGTTGGGGAGATATGAGAACCCCTGGTCTACGCAACCTATACAACACCAATAATTTTTATAAGTCTCATCGTTTCGTTGGACGTGCTACTTTCATTAAATCTATTGCAGTATTTCTCAAACTTCGCCTTCGAATCCCTCAATAAAGATTTTAGGGAAATCAACTGGAGAAATAACTGTTTAAAAAAAATTTTAAAGAAAGATGCTAAACTCATGTAACATACTCCTTTAATAAATAATTATATGCATAATAGTTAATCCCCTAGATTGGAAGAACCTCTCGGTAAAAATAAAACACTATGGGGAATAATTCTCTTATTTCACAAAACTAAAACTCTTCTAAGAATCCGCGGATTTTGAGAAACACTAAACTATCGTACGACGAGTAACGCCCGAAAGGCAAAACATTGATTTTCATAAAATAGTGGCGTTCCTATCAGCGACTGTGTTCCTTTTACTTCCTGGAATTCGAAAATCCCGTTTGAAAATCAAAAAATAAAATAAATAAAGGAGAAATTCAGTTTGAAATTCGTTGCGTATAAACATATGTGGACGTTTAGTTTTTTTTTTTTTATAATTACAGTTACTGTCAATAATAAATAGACCTCAAAAAAAAAAAAAAAAATCGTCCCTGAAGATTCTCAATTCAGGATTCTGGAGCGCAGTCGCTGATCTGTGTCCACCATCAATATTTAATCGTGGTCAAAATTCGACGGATAGAAGACGACCCTATTGTACATTTACACGACTACTCTCGTTGGTGACGATTGATAAAGAGAATCCTAAAAATTGCACGATCGATATACACATGTATGTAGGTACTGTTTGTACTACGCGCCGCGTGCGAGATACGAGCTAAATCGCTAGGCGAAAGAGAAGGAAACGTTACGAAACGACGCGCTCGATTGTCGCGTGGACAAACGACATTACCTATGGACAGATATTTGGTACGATTTAAGCTTAAAGTAGACGCTAGTGCCTGCCTAAATGAGATCAAAATAAATACTTACAAACTAATCATTCTGCGGAAGACCGATTGCCCCAGAAGCAATGTTCTCCTCTTTCGATGTTTACGTGAGTATTTACGTGCTGCGAAAACGAGTCTTTGCTGCAGCCCCCAGATCGAGCAACGATCGGGGAAAGCGTTGCTGTACGAATGTCGGTGCAGTTTCGAAAAACGCGCGACGAGAACGCGTCGGAACGATATACAGTGTTCCCCGCTTGTACCCCACTTCCCCCCCTCTAAAATATTACCGCTGGATTGGCGACGTTATACCGGTGAAAACGAGCCCAAACACGACCCTGTTCCGACAATTTTTAGTGAAACCTCGAAAGATGTTCAAAATTAATATAGTCCGAACAACGACGTGTTGGGGCTCATTTTCCTCGTGAGGACGTCAATAATGCATTGGTAATATCGTTTTGAATATATAAGCATAAATATTGTTTAATGCACGACTCGACTCATTTACTCAGCAACGGGGTTAGGTTGCATAGAAGCGGGGAATGCTGTTGAAAATATTCAAAAACTCAGTCGCACGCGTAATCCGATGTGGTCCAATTTTCGTTAAAACACGCCTCGAAAAATAATGAAATTTACAAATATACTATGGAACGGATTGTAGAGGATCTCTAAGTTACCATCGCGCGATCATTGATCATTGGACACCCTTTGTTGATCTGTTCCTTTCTGGTTTGCTCACAGGATGGAGCACACGTTCTGGTCGGCGAGTCCAGTCTCCGTGCAGGATGTCCCATCGCGGTTCCATCGAGGCTGCGAGTCGAAAGGTGAAAATTGCTTTGCCGTCGAGAGGAAATGCGGCGACGGGCGCATCGATTGTCCACGGTAAGATCGCATGCGTTAGATTATCATCTCGTTCTCGATGTTCTCGTTCCTCTGGTTCTCCTCGTACTCGTCGCAGTAGCAACACGTCGACAGGCAGTCTTCGGAGTTCTCGCCCACGTACGTCATGTACGTGTCGATGCTGTCCGTGTCCAAGGACGGCAGGGACCACGACGATATCGACGTTGTCTCGTGGTCCGGTATGGCCGAGAACCAAGAGGTCAGGTTCCGTGACTTCTTCGCCTTGCGACTCCTCGTCGACAGCTTCTTGATTGCCTGCGGAATCGAACCAACAGTCTAGGATATAGCTAACAAATCTATATTTCTCCAGCACTCTCGTAGAATTATATTGCATCAATTATACGATTAAAGGCTGCTACCAAACGTTCGTAGCACACTGCTCTGAGGTAATGCTTCCCAACAGGTGTGACGACCACACCGACACGCCGTGACAAGAATGCGCGTCTGCCACGAGGACATTTGTGATGGATAATGCATTATAAAATTGTAATAATATTCGAATTTTTTAATTTGAATTTGCCATTTTTCAATGCGTTACCACGCGAAAAAAGGTTGGGAAGCACTGGCCAAAGGTAACAACACGAAGCGTACGTTTCTGCGAGCCGAGTTGAGCGAATCAATGTTAAGCGAGGTCACGCCGATCAAAATTACCCGCTCGTGAATATTTGATCCAATTTACCAGAATCAGGGGGAACGTATCGCAGCGTAGCGCTATGCATTTTCACGGGACGTACTGCACGGAGTTCCGAAGACTGTCCTCGAGAGTCCACCGCGCTAGAGAGATCCGTTGTTTCGGTAATAAAATGCGTTTTCGCGACAGTGATCGTTAGTTTACGGGGTACAAATTTAAAAAAAATAGGGTAATTATTGCTTCCAAAATGTTTGATCGCTGAATTCGAATTCCATTTATGGATAATCGCATTAGACTGCAGGGGGCAAAATAGTTAACGAGAAATGAAACTTTTTAAAAATTTTATGGTTCCTGCCAACGATAATGAATAATACAAACTCATTATATTTCACTTTGGAGGGGAGCAAACATCGTAAATAAACCACTGCGGACTCCTCGTTCGAATAAAATTCTCCCCTAATCCCCGATTCGTAGCATCATCTGTTCAATCGTCGAGGCACACGACGCTTACAACGAAACGTTTCCCACCGAATTTCTATCTGGTCCGCTCTATCTATAAACACGGTCAATTCCGCCGAGCGAAACGCGTCCGTGAAACCGTGGAACCGGAGTCGAAAACACTTGGAAGGGACCGGTGTGGCCAGGTTTACCGATGCGTTACGCGAGGCCTCAGGAATTGGGTCGGCCGATGCGCCAAAAACGTGCGTGCGTGCAACGTACGAGGGATAATTGCCATGGGTGTCTTACCCTCAGCAATCTACGCCCGGATTTGCTCAGCAATTTCCTCAACATACTGTCGCCAGCGACTTCGGTGTACTCGTAACCTGGGAACCGGTTTTCTGCTCGACCTTCCTCACGGTCTGGCCAAGAAAATGCAACGCGACGCAGGATTGATTTTCGCGAGGCGCGAATTTTCGTCGTACGGACGAGTCGGATCGATGCACACGAGCCGGCGTCACGCGACGAAATACCGCTCCGTAGCGCGGCGCTGTCCTATTTATCACCTCGGCTGGCCCGGAGTCTTATCGTACCATGCCGTGCGATCCACCCTCCACCCTCCTCAACCCCCTCGCCGAGCTCACAGCTGCCGCGTGCTACATCCGAGTCCGGAACGCGGTCGTACAGCGTGCTTCACAAACGGTCCGTGGAAAGGGGGTGCGCGAGAGGCGAAGGAAAAACCCCCCCACCCAACGACTGCAGTCCTTTTTTTCCTAAATGCGCGCTGAATCGTTTCTGACAAGTTTCAACCCTTAATCTCTGTACGATCTTGAAGAAAATGCAATAGTTATATCCCTGCAAAGAAATAGAGACATTTAACCCTTGATTTCGATTTATCAATGAGGAGCAAAAGTGGTTTTCGAGGGTGCATTCTATGAAATGCTAGACAAAATATACGGGGTGTTCAGCCACCTCTGGGAAAAATTGTAAGATTCTAGAGGCCAAAATAAGACGAAAATCTAAAATTTCAATTTCTTGACTGAGGCTTCGTTAAAAAGTTATTAACAATTAAATTAACAAATTTCAAATCGTTCTGGAAAAATTATTTTCGGTTGCAGGGATCAATTACAATCATTTTCGGTCATTAGACATAGTCCCGAAATCCTATCCAGTTTTGAGAAAAAAATTCGAGTAGATGTGAAATTTTTTCGACAAAATTCAAAAATTTCAAATCGTTCTGGAAAAATTATTTTTAGTTGCAGAGGCCAATTACAATCATTTTTTATGAATAGATATATCCTCGAAATCCTATCCATTTTCGAGAAAAAAATTCGAGAAGGTACGAAATTTTTCGACGGGAAAAAAAATTTCAAATCGTTCTAAAAAAATTATTTTTAGTTGCAGGGGTCAATTAGAATCATTTTTGGTCATTACACATACCCCCGAAATCCTGCGCATTTTCGAGAAAAAAATTCGTGAAGATGTGAAATTTTTCGATGGGAAAGAATTTCAAATCGTTCTGGAAAAATTATTTTCCGTTGCGGGGGTCAATTAGAATCATGTTTGGTCATTACACATATTCCCGAAATCCTGCGCATTTTCGAGAAAAAAATTCAGAACTGACGAAACTATAAACGTTAATAACGTTTCAACGAATCCTCCATCAACAAATTAGTGTTCTTGATTTTCGTCTTATTTTGGCCTCTAAAATCTCTCAGTAAAATTTTTCCCAGGGTTGGCGAATACCCTGAATAGTCAAAAGGAAAACTTAGTATACAAATACATCAATAGTAAAAGTGTAGAAATAGTATTAGGATGATAGTAGAATAGTAATTATACTTGAATTTGGTGAATATATGTAACTCTAATCCTGATTCCATGGGAAGCGCGAATTATAGAAGCCGACAATTCGTACAAGTATGATTGCACACTATGGTCGTTCGCCCATCGGGAATACGAGGGTGGAAGATCGAATTGAGTTAATGCACGAGTGATCGATGAAAATTTACGAGTGGCAATTGCCCCTCATTGATGCTACACGAATGGAAATATAATTGGTTATCGACATCTAGCGATTAAAAGTCTCGATGGGATGGACAATCGATTGCAAATAATTTGCTACCTGTGTATGGATTGTTTAATCACTCTGCTAATACCCATGGCACCTATTCGTAATCGTCCATATCTCTTATCATTATACTGCTCAATTTCGAACTTAGTTTTCCTATATTATAGTTCCTCTCTTCTGTGATCCTGATCTATTCTATAATAATTATGTTATTAAGAGAATTTAGAAAATATTACGAATATACAGTTTTCGTAATGTGGGTCGGTAATCAGTCGAGGATCAGAATGACGTTTCGGAACGTTGACCACGAACGGATCGCTTTGACGTGCATCGCACGTAATCGCTGCGTAACCACGGCTCTCGAATCAATTAAAATCCAAAGGCAAATTTGGAGCGCGTTCGTTGAAAAATCGGAGCGTGTTGGGCGCGTGTCCATCGGCCCCCGGTGTACGCATGCGCTTACGCGTACGCGTACGAAGGACTAACCTCGCAGGACGCACGTGCGCGGCATAACGCTCGTGTGAGCGAAGCTGTTCTCACGCGACGACACGCGACCCCTGCCCAGCGTCACCCTCGATGCGTGCGTGTAGCCACGTGCCGTCTCTATTCGCCCACGGAAAACTCATAATTGTCATAACATTTGAGCTGCCCGCTCGCCCGGGGAAACACCAATACCCGCCATTCGATTTAGAAGTGCACTCCTCTTCGTAAAGCCGACGCGTCCACCGCGATTCTAAATGCCAGTTTCCACCATCCCTGGGTCCACGCTTTTGCGTTTTGCCGCCGGAGCTACGATCTCTAAAATATTTAAAACAAACAAGCTTTTAAATTTGTTTAAAAAAAAAAAACTGAATTTGCAATGTTAGTACGTGACCAGCATGAATGGAACGGGCTTGAATTATTTATGTGAACCAATAAAAAAAAGGCAAATTATCGCTGACGGCGGGTTCAAACCAGAATTAACGTGTTACATAAATAATACGATAAGCTAGATGCGTGTCATATGACCTATGTGATAAGCTGGACGCGTGGTATCGGGTATATTAAGCATGAGTTCATAAATTATCCAAGCACGATTTAAGAAATCTAGTATTGGTACGATTTAGGGATCACGATAATTTTTTTCAGAACCATAGCGATTTAATATTTGTTAATAATTGTGAAGAATTAATGTTGAGAAACACATCTGCACAAAATATTCTATAATGATGAATAAAACCAACATATAACATATTCGTTAACGAATAAGAAGCTGTTTAATTTCATTCATTATTCGAAAATTATTATCTGGATAAGTTTACTAGTCTCTACCGTATACTACGTATAATGGTGGTAATGGATCTTTTAACGTCGTCACACGAATGACGTCAGCAACGTGATTCCACTAGTGACGTCAGTAAGAGTACTTACCCACGATTCATAGCTCTCTTAAACACGTTCGATATCTTATTCGTGTACACTGTAAGTACAGATACCTATACAGGGTGTTCAGCTACCATTGGGAAAAATTGTAATGGGAGATTCTGGAGGCCAAAATAAGACGAAAATCAAGAATATTAATTTCTTGACTGAGGCTTCGTTAAAAAGTTATTAACAATTAAATTCAAAAATTTCAAATCGTTCTGGAAAAATTATTTTCGGTTGTGGGGGTCAATTACAATCATTCTTGGTGAATACATATACCCCCGAAATCCTACGCACTTTCGAGAAAAAAATTCGAGGTGTGAAATTTTTCGACGAAATTAAAAAATTTCAAATCATACTAAAAAAATTATATTTACTTACAGGGGTCAATTACAAGCATTTTTGGTGAATAGACATACCCCCGAAATCCTACGCACTTTCGAGAAAAAAATTCGAGAGGGTGTGAAATTTTTAGACGAAATTAAAAAATTTCAAATCATACTAAAAAAATTATATTTACTTACAGGGGTCAATTACAAGCATTTTTGATCATTATACATACCCCCGAAATCCTACGCACTTTCGAGAAAAAAATTCAGTACGGGGGGAACTTTAAACGTTAATAACTTTTTAACAAAGTCTCCATCAAAAAATTGGTGTTCTCGATTTTCGTCTTATTTCAGCCTCTAGAATCTCCCATTAAAATTTTTACTGTATACGCTGTGAATAAATCACGTACAATTAGTATATCTGAGCGAACTAAATATTTTATGGTATAATTAAGCATATATTTCAATTTTAAATAAATATAAATTGTAAATCCTGGCAACCATTATTTGCACAATAACGCGTGACGCATTCTCTGCAAATGTGCATGCTTCGTAGATCCCCGTCTTATCGTTTTTCGATGTTCGTTTACTCGAGCGAAGCAACGAAACCAAATCTACCCGGCACGTGCCGAACGGATACGCGTGTAGAATATTTCTGATCCATTTCTCCCGTGTTTATTCCTGCTGTTCCAGGGCCTGCACGATCCGAAATGAAATTTAAACTTTCGTGGGTACAGCGTCTCTCAATGGTTCCTCGTGTTTCGTCGCTTTATACGTTTGCTGTTCTTTGCCTACTTAACAAAAAATTTATACAATTTTTCAGGATTTCTCAACCACGCATATAAATAAAAATGAAACTAACAACCGGTATAGTTCACTTCGAACGAGCCAATCGATCCGCGAGAGGGGGGCTGGCAATTTTAACGCAGTAAAACGAAACCGCATGTTGAAGGAGCGTCTCGAAACAAAGAACGCGATCCGGAGGTGGGCTCGTTCGCGACGAGGCCGGCGAAAACCTAATCATTTTTAGGGGAAACAATTGCCGATGGCGATGGAATAACGAGCGACGCGTGCCGGGTCACGTGTCCCACAAATGCTCGCTCAAACATTACGTACGAGGCGGTGGGCGCAGAAATAAGTCTCGCCTAATTGCGACGGTCGTCCATTAGAGATTAAACTTCAAACGAGACTCGGTCAAATTCGTTCGGTTAATTAACGCGGCTCGTCGAACTGCAACCTTTTCGTCTTGCGTTTCATTCGTCGAAGAAACGATCGAACCACTGTAACGGCACAATGAATTCACAAATAAATGCTGTAAAATGGTTTACGTGGTTCACAAACCACATTTTACCGACTCAAACGAGATTTTTGCGAGATCGATCGGTGAACGATAATTGGAGGGAGAAACCGGCCGGTTGGCGACACCAGTTACGTCAGCGTTTGAGGTTAGAAACCGTATAAACGTGATCGCCATTGAAGCACGCGTATTTCGAACGGAGAAGAATGGAAAATCTGTTTGTTCGCCCGGACAGGGGTTAAAAGTCACGGTAATAGGCTTGTGTGGCTAACACAGATCGCAATATCCGGAAAACTAATCTCGTCCCGCTCTTTTCACCGTCACGTATTGCGCAAGTTCGAGCGTTGCGTCAATTTGCGTCAGACTTCTCGCAAATATTTATAAAACCGTCATTCTGATTTCCGTCACGCACCGAATCGCCTCCGAACAACGATGGAAATAGTCAATAATCCCGATTGAAACACGCACTTTTATTTATTGCGAGAAGGGAATCGCGGGAAACCAGAGAGCAGACGATACGTCCAAAATAGCGACCAATATGTAGATTGGGTTTTCAAGTCTCCTTATCGTTCTGTTTGTTGTGAAAAAGAATACGTATTTTAAATATTTCTATAAATTAAGAAGAAAATTGTTTTTGACGGCGTAGTCAATCAGTAAATATTAATCATATTTTATAAAGTATATCGTCGATGTTAAAAAAGAGAACAGTTTAATCAACCGTTAGATATTAATAATGTTGTAGAAATGTGTAATCTAGCGACGAGAGAAACTGATAAATTTGTGTCTGTTAGCATTAAAGAAAAAATAAACTCAACTTATAGAATATTTGTTTATTAATTTAGAAAAGAAAAAAAAGAAAACAAAATGACTGTAATAATTTGATACACAGAAAAAAAGACATAAAAAGGGGACGTACAGCAATGCAGCCAACCACACAAAAACAAAAATGACTTACTACACTAACCCAGACCTAACCCAGATATAAAAGACAGATTATAGAAACATATTTCTAACAGTATCAACCAACAAAACAGAATCCTACCTTAATCCATTACAATATGGAACCACTGCCGCGTGGTAATTTCCTTGCACACAATACTCGATAAAAGAAACAAATTTCACGAATGAGAAAATAGATCTAAAACTTTATTCAATCTTTATCACAATATGTACATTTAATTTTTATGTAACACGTATGAAGGGAATCGGTAATTTGTAATGTAAATGTATGCAAGAAAATAAATAACGTTTCGTATAATACATTTGTAGACAATCAACGGAAACTATCTTCATAGTGTCCGTGAACAAACTATTACGCAAACATTATGATTGTAATACCCACTGAAGTTCAAGTTACACAAGTTTTAATACTCCATGGCCTCAGAATATTCATAAGCTCCCTGTGTACAATTACTTGCAATCGCTCAATTACATTTACCTTCGAATATAAAAATATAAAAATATAAAAATAACGTATTAACACTCTAATAGTAACAATAGCAATAATATCAACGTTTTGAAGATTTTAATTGTCGTTGAGAGATTTGTATAACTTGCTCAGATCGAAGGGGAAATTTTTTTTGTTCCCCGGTAGCAACATTGGCACCAGCTTAATGCGTAGCTCGTAGGGGAAAAAATCCTGACAGAAATGATAAAAATCGTTTCTGTTCTCGATGATACCCAGTCGTGCCATTTCCTTCATCAGTATCTGCATTTCGGGCCTGTACTTCGAGTACGATTTTTTTTTCAATATCAACGTCGTTATCTGCGACAATTCATTTATGAACTTCTCGGAAATCACTCGCGTGTTCAGACCGTACTTCGGTTCCATGCATTTCCACAAATAATTATAAAGATGTTTCGTGACCCAGGGTTTTGGACGAGCGAGACGAGGGACTTTGTACACCTGACCGTTCACCAGGAAAGCTTTATTTACTTCTTTCGAGGGTTGTTTCTTCTGCGTCGGTCTCTTTTTCTTGTTAATGTCACCGGTTCTAGCAACCTGCGACGGGATCTTGGTCTCACGGCTCTTCTGATCCACGTTCATTTTATCGAGCACTCGAGCCTTCAGCTCCTCCATTTTTCTGTTAACCTCCTCGAGCTTCTGTTTGTCGGATAAAACCTGAGACATTGGCACTGCTTTTGTCGTTTGAAGGAAGTCCATGATGTTCCTTTGACTCGTCGAAGCGACAGGAGTTCGTACGGAGGGAATTTTCGAAGAGATTATCAAATTTTGATCTTTGTTCGACTCTGCGCGATGCGTGGAAATGTTTCCTTTCGCGGTACGAGAATTATGCGCGTCAGACGGGGCAAAGATCGTACCGAGTGTGCGTAAATCTTTGTCAACGTTTTGCGCTTCGTTTGTAATTGCTTTGTAACTAGACCCGTGCAAAGACTCTTTGTTTGCTTCACGTACATCCTCGGCATCTGATGCATCTTCGCTGCCTTTGGTGTTATGGATATCTAAATCGGAAGTTGATCGATCCTTCGATTTCGATATCGTAGTAACTTGTTTCCGAATATTACTTACATTACTCGATGTGTAACTTAATTGGAAATTTATATCATCTTGTGATTTGTTTCCGCTCGAGTTGTCTGCGTGAATTTCGGTTAACTCTTTCTCTAAACTTAACCTGCTATGCATCTCCGTAGTATCCTTAGTTTGATCTGGTTCAACGTCGTCGACAGCTGCTTTATCCGGTATATTCCCACTTTTGTTCAAAGGAGCTTCAACTTCTGACTCAGCCTCACTCTGCGTGTTTGACGTTGACTGCCTTTGTGATTCACTTTTACCCTCATTTTGTTTACTTGCAGTATCGCCAACCTTGTATGACAGAGCTATATCTACAACTTTTACAGCTAATTCCTTTTCAAAATTAAGAATTTTGCTTTGCGTTTTCGGAGGAGTTTCAATTTTTGATATAGAGTTGCTATCTGTCTGTAAAGTTGACTGATGATGTGGTTTACTTATTCTCTTGCTTCGTCTGGTCTCAGCTGCAGTAAGTGATTGCTTTTGCGCTCTACTTGATCTCTTGCTTTGCCTTTTAGAAGGAGTTTCAACTTGCGAGACCAAGTTGCTATCTTCCTGTAAAGTTACTTGACCTATTCTCTTGCTTCGTCTGGTCTCAGCTGCAGTAAGTGATTGCTTTTGCGCTCTACTTGATCTCTTGCTTTGCCTTTTAGAAGGAGTTTCAACTTGCGAGACCAAGTTGCTATCTTCTTGTAAAGTTACTTGACCTATTCTCTTGCTTTGTCTGGTAGTAGTATTATCAGTTTCTTCGGGTTCATCCTTATCCTCAATATCTGAAAGTGATCGCTTTTGCGATTTACCTGATCTCTTGCTTTGCCTTTTAGTAGGAGTTTCAACTTGCGAGACCAAGTTGCTATCTTCCTGTAAAGTTACTTGACCTATTCTCTTGCTTTGTGTGTTTATAGCATTATCAGTCCCACCAGATTCATCTTTATCCTCAATATCTGAAACTGACCGCTTTTGCGCAATACTTAATCTCTTGCTTTGCCTTTTAGAAGGAGTTTCAGCTTGCGAGACCAAGTTGCTATCTTCCTGTAAAGTTACTTGACCTATTCTCTTGCTTTGTGTGTTCATAGCATTATCAGTCCCACCAGATTCATCTTTATCCTCAATATCTGAAACTGACCGCTTTTGCGCAATACTTAATCTCTTGCTTTGCCTTTTAGAAGGAGTTTCAGCTTGCGAGACCAAGTTGCTATCTTCCTGTAAAGTTACTTGACCTATTCTCTTGCTTTGTGTGTTCATAGCATTATCAGTCCCACCAGATTCATCCTTATCCTCAATATCTGAAATTGATTGCCCTTGTAATCTACTTAACCCCTTGCTTTTCGAAGGACTTTCAACTTTTGAGACAGCATTACTATCTGTGTGTAAAGTGTGTAATTGACTTATTGTCTTGCTTTGCCTTTTCGTAGGAGTTTCAACTTTTGGGACAGAGTTACCATCTGTGTGTAAAGTTAATTGACTTATTGTCTTGCTTTGCCTTTTCGTAGGAGTTTCAACTTTTGAGACAGCGTTACTATCTTCCTGTAAAGTTACTTGACTTGTTTTCTTGCTTTGTCTGTTTATAGCATTATCAGTCCCACCAGATTCATCTTTATCCTCAATATCTGAAATTGATTGCCTTTGTAATCTGCTTAACCTCTTGCTTTGCCTCTTCGAAGGACTTTCAACTTGTGGGACAGAGTTACTATCTGCGTGTAAAGTTAATTGACTTATTTTCTTGCTTTGCCTTTTCGTAGGAGTTTCAACTTTTGAGACAGGGTTACTATCTGTGTGAGAAGTTAATTGAGTTATTCTCTTGCTTTGTCTGGTCGTAGCATTATCAGTTCCATCTGACTCAGGCTCATCTGCAATACCTGAAACTGATTTCTTTTGCAATCTACTTAATTTTCTGCTTTGCCTTTTCGAAGAGCGTTGAATTTCTGGCTCAGAATCGCTCTCAATGTGTAATATCGACTGCCTTTGTGATTCATTTATTTTTTTACCTTGTCTGTTCCCATCACTCTCAATTTCTCTTGGTTCTGGATCATCCGGAATACTTAATTTGCTGCTTACATTTGCTTGTGTTTGCGATGTGTTTAATCTCTTGCTTTCCCTTTTCGAAGGAGTTTGATCTTCTGATTCAGAGTCACTTTCATTGTCCAGCATTGACTGTCTTAACGATTCATTTATTTTTCTGCTGTGTCGATCAGTTTCAATTCCGTTGGATTCAACGTCTTCCATGATCGCTGAAATCGATTGGTTTTGCAATCTACTCAACCTCTTGCTTTGCCTTTTCAATCGTATTTGATCTTCCGATTCAGAGTCAGTTTCATTGCGTAATGCTGACCATCTTTGTAATTTACTTATATTTTTGCTTTTCTTACTCCTAGTGTCATCAATTTCGTTTGATTCAACGTTGTTCGAAATATAGAGATCTGATCTTCTTGACCTGCTCAACCTCTTGCTTTGCTTTTTCGGCGTTTCGTCTTCTGACTCGGAATCACTGTCGATTCTTGTCATTGATTGTCTTAGCGACTTACTTGTGGTCCTATTTTGTTTATCAATTGTATTTGGATTTCTGTTTGGGTTTGTTAGAATAGATTCGTCCGAATCCTGAGCCTCCTCTTCCCTATTTATCACTGATCTCTTCTCTGGACTCTGTCTTTTTGGAACAGATCGACGTTCCTCTGTCTCTAGCTCCTTATTAATAAATGAAACTGGCAATCTGCTTACATTTTTGCTTTCTCCTGTAGCGGTATTATCAACGTCACTTTGTTCATTTTTATTTGCAATAGCTGATACCGATCGGTTGCGTGACGTGTTCAAGTTTCTGGTCTGCCTTCTTGGACTGTATTCCATGCCTTCTTCATGAAAGCTACTGCTGTTACGCAACGTTAACGCTGGCGACATATTAAATTTATTGTTTTGTTCTTCATCAGTATTACCAGCGTTACTTTGTTTAAGAGCATGAATGATAGCTGAAGACGATAGCCTGTTCGAATTACTTAAATTTTTACTTCGCTTTCTTGATACATCCTCAACGTCTTCTGCATCAGAATCGCGTGTAATACGAGAAACTGACAATTTTTGCGATTTATTTGAATTCTTGCTTTGCCTTTTAGCATTATTATCGATTTCATCCAGTTCCTTTTCAGTTAGAATAGCCGAATTAGACTGGTTCTGTGATTTGCTTGATTTCTTATTTTGCTTAGTCGAAAGCGAATGTGTTTTTATACTGCTCGATCGTTTTCTTGGCTTTCTTGCAGCCAATTCGAATTCTTCTTCCTCGGAGTCGCTCACAACTCTTAAGTTTAACCAGTTTTTATTTTGATTATCTTCCATATTATTTTCTTCTAAAACAGCGGGTTCATTTTCGTTCCTTGAAACCGGTTTCCGAGGCGAGTCCTGATTCAAAGATTTCTCTTTCGAATTCCCGATGAGACTGACTGCTGAGTCGATCAATGTTTCATCTTCGTCATCGACACTTTGCGATAAACTTACTGTTCCTTGGCTGTGCGATTTTGATGAATTTGTATTCGGTTTTATACTTTCGTCCGACGTGGTTGCGTGATTTAGGTGTGAAGTTGACAAAATCTCGTTGTTTTCTTGATCATTTATTTTACTTTTGCTTATACGTTGCAAAGACTGAGCGCTCTTGATCCTATGTCTTTCGTTGTTTGCAGAATTGAAAGAAATTTGGAATCCGGATGTCTCGTGTGGATCGACGTTATCATCTTCCTGAAGAATGTCCAAAAAGGGATTCTGCTTTGAATGTTCAGTTCTACTTTCGGTTGCAATATTTCTTGGCACAGGCTGCGAGATTTCACGTATTTCCTCCACCGACGATATCAAAGATCTCTTCGAACGATTAGATCCTCTTGCGACGTTCTTGTTCGCAGATTCGTTTATTTCCTTTCCGCTATCAACTTCGTCCTTCACTAATACATTTTTAAAAACATTTCTTTCCGCGATTTTATTACGACGTTTTAGGAACCTTGATGGTGGTTTCAATATTATTGGTTCTGTGTCGCTAGAAACACTATCTTTATTACTGTCACGCATGCGCAAAGAATTATTTTCAAGTAATGTACTCTGCGCATTCGGTGCAGAAGAATTATGTTCATCCACATTAGACAGAGAAAATTTACTTAACCGTGATCTGTTAACGATAGGAGATGCAGTTTTACGCTCCATGGAAGCTCGCTCCCTCTGGATTCTTCGATTCTCTTTAACAAAGGGTGTACTCGAAATCCTTTCCTTCGAAAGACTTTGTAGCTCGTCTTCTTTCAATATATTATCAAAAATATTCGTGTTCGGAGCTTTGCGTTTTTTCTCAAAAATTCTAGGTTTCAATTTCACAATTACGTCTGTGCTTTGGCTATCGTTGGAGCTACTTCTTCGGACCTTATGTAAACGTTTGACGTTGACGTTATACTCCGTCGATGCATTGCTATCCACGGTACTGCCTTTATTTTTTTTTCGTACAGGTTCAGGCACAAGCGACGTTTTAGAACTGTTTAATGCGCTTACGAAAGCATTGCTCTTGGTGTTCCTTGTTTTGAACTTCAAAGAACGCTTTCTTTTCGCAATTCTGGACTCTTCTTCCGACTCCGACGTCGATATTATTCTATTAACAGCATCTAATAAAATATTATAGACGATATAAAACGGGGTAACAAAATTTCACTTATAAGGTTAACGCCGTACCTTTCCTCGAATGATCCCTAGCAACTGGCAACGGAGTCGAAGTGTTTGGCGTTTCCAAAACTTTCCACCATCCGGCTCTGGGTGTGTTAATATCTACCATCGAAATAGAATCCAAGTTAGCAGTTGTTTCGCCAAAGATATCGGGACCCATAGATAGTCGCGCTATCGTATTATTTTCGACATCTTTCCACCAATACGGGCGTTCTGAAACGCAATACAGTACAGGTTAACGTACGTATTTAACCAAAAGTTGTGAGATATGTATATACGTACCATCGCCAAAAATTTCCGTATTAGGATCTAGAATACCAGAACTGTAATCAGATCGGCTGTATCTGGATGAACGTCTATTTTCGATCCTTCGTTTAGCCATAATTTTCGACGACTAACCTCTTAAATGCAGCAACAGAGTTGTTTACAAACGACTTTTTCGTTCTATAGTCGATTCTGAACTTTTTAAATCAATTCTAACGCGGATCGATCTGCTTTAATCCGGGTTGGAATAACATTCCCTCGTACGAAGCTTTGTTTTCATAACAATAATAGTGGATATTTCTTAAAATGCGCCAATATTATTACGCCGGCAACTCCCCATCACTGGATGGACGTCGCGGGAATTTTGGTCATGCGCAATGGAATTTTCCCTCGTGAGATTCCTTTCTGCGCATGCGTAAGCTGACGTCACAGTTACCTGTCATCCGCAACCGTATGAGGAGTCCTCATTCCTCATTTCACTTTCGCATACTATGCTAGATTATGCATATGTGAACTCGTAGATGGCAAAAGCAAACTGACAAGCGCCCTTTTTCTTAATTTTTTACAGTTGTTCAAGGGGAGCTTCAGACCAGTACGAGGGTGTCCAGAGAAAAGGCAAATGTCAGCCTTTCCTTCCCGATCTTGAACCATAATGGAGAACAAAATTGCGCCAAATTTTGTTTACAGAAGTGCACGTTTCAAGATCTGGTCATATTTTAACTATTGAAGAAAAAGAAAATCTTGTTATTATTCCTATGTATGAACGTACTTATGTATACACCTTACATACACCATAGAATTATTATAAAAACATATAACTCAAATTTAATTTATTTATAAAACGTCCTATAAAGATTGTGAGACATGTGTAAAACATGTATGTATTAATAAAAAATCAAAATCATATTTTCCGTGCTTTTTATTTACGTTCTCCTCTCACTTTCCCATTAATTTCCTAATTGTAATAAATTCTAGAATACCTTATAATTTTATTAAGATCTTCAACCATTTCTCTATACATTTTTATTAATGATATTAATAAGTTATAAACGATTACTGGAAGCGATTTTTGTTCCAATATTGCGCTAAAAAGTGCCGTAAAACAGTATCGCCATCTAATATCAGGGATTCGAACTGCGAAAATCGTGCCAGGATCACAGAATGTTATAGGAGGTATCCGGAGTACAGGTTCCCCCACTCCTCCTACTCCTAATACTCAATGTACCTTGATTATTCATTAATAACTCCTTTTCTGGGAATAAAATATGAACTTTTAGAATCGAAGAATATAGTACAGACCCTTGGCAACATTCAAGGACCGATTTTGCAATGCTCCTTGCTCTAATTAATTAGTTATTAGCGATAGATACCTAAGGTGTTGGGTTAAAAGATTCAGAGCAGCGTGCCGACTTCCAAAATCGGTTAATAACTATTTAATAACGCATTGCATGGCTATAAAAACTATCCTCGAATGTTGTCAAGGGTCTTCTGTCAATGCGCCGACTTCCGATATTCGTTAATAACGTCTTAATTACTGGCGGAATGTTTATGAAAACTATCCTTGAATGTTGTCAGGGGTCTGTACTATATTCTTCAATTCTAAAAATTCATATTTTATTCCCAGAAAAGGAGTTATTAATGAATAATCAAGGTAGTGCGTATCAGGAGTAGGAGGAGTGGGGGAACCTGTACTCCGGATACCTCCTATAACATTCTGTGATCCTGGCACGATTTTCGCAGTACGAATCCCTGATATTAGATGGCGATACTGTTTTACGGCACTTTTTAGCGCAATATTGGAAGAAAAATCGCTTCCAGTAATCGTTTATAACTAATTAATTACATTAAATAGTCTATAGAGAAATGGTTGAAGATCTTAATAAAATTATAAGGTATTCTAGAATTTATTGCAATTAGGAAATTAATGGGAAAGGTAGAGGAGAACGTAAATAAAAGGAATGGAAAATAAAATTTTGATTTTTTATTAATATAAACATAAGGAATGTTTTACACATTTCTAACTCCTGATAAACACATTACCACTAAACTATCAAGGGGGTCGAAATGACTCGTTTCGTCATTTGTAGTTATAACTTATTTTTTAATTTTAATGGCATACCGTAAATGATTTAATTTTGTAAAGTACTTTTCTTTTTTTTTTGTTTTGCATATAAAATTCATGCGCTGTATACATTACATGTATCAAAAGAACGAAATTAATCTTATGAACCTTCCTTGTCAACTGAAAAATACTTTTAAGTTCTTTGATGTATATTTAATTTGTTCTCGTATAAAAATACAGTTTAGGTATTCAATAACGATGGATGTGCTGTGTTCGTGTAACTGGTCATTAGCTTAAAAATGAATTTATAGCTGGTTAATAAATTATTGATTTTATTTAACGTGTCGCATCTTATACACCGCCAATTTGAAAGTGATCGATTAATTTGTTCAATATCATGATTATATCTACTTTATACTCTCGAAGGAAATTTGTTAAACGCGGTAGAATGGTTTCTTTGGGAATTATAACTAAATATTTTGTAGCTTAGAAAGTAGTAATAAAACTCATTCCCTGCGTATGATGTATACAATGTGTATAAAACATTTTATACAATATCTTAATGTTCTTATCTATTAGAGCCAGCGTTATCTACAGTTTACAAGAAAATGAATTATGTTATGAAAAAAAAAAAATATACGCACGATAAGTTGCTATTTTGATGTAATGTTACAATAGTGGAAGATGTCACAAATACTAGTTCTGATTACGTCTCGATGTAAATAGAGTATGTATTAGAAATCCTACTTATAATGTACATATGAATGAAAACAAATATTAAATCAGCCTTGGATTAATCTCTTTAATCGGGTACGTTTCTACTTCGCTTTCGTAGATGAACGGGACCTAAGGTTCTTTTTAGTCGCCTGATCAACCTCCGGTAAATCATCGTCCTCGGAGACAACAGATTTCTTCCCTGGAACAATATAAATTTTATATCTATTTTCTAGAATTTTCTAGAATTTTCTAGAATTTCTCTCACCTTCCTTCTTTTTCGGTTTCTGTTTCGATTTTACAGTTACTTGCACGGGGGCTGCATTTTCACGAGCACGCTTAATTTGTCTCGTGATGAGCACGTAAGAAAGGTAGGCTTGGAAGACAACGATAATACTTAAAGCTGAAAATCGTATGACCGGAATGTTGTAGTTTCCAGCCGCATAATCGAATGAATTTTCAACTTGGCTCAAGCCATATAGGAACACTAAAGTTGCGATGGCGAATGTCGCAACGCGTACAAAAATATATATCGTATTTGCGATCAAAAATGCCACTGAAATAAAATTATTTTATAACATTCTGTTAAACCTGCTCTTAATTACTGTAGTGTCGTTGCGATAGAATAATACCTACTTTTTGTTACCTTTTCCTTTTTACTGACAAAGTGACCAATTCTCGCTCCATGGAGTATAGCATCTCCTATATAATGCAAAACCAACAGTATGATCCCTACTTGTTGGAAGCTGTGAAAAATTACGAATCAGTACTCCTGACATTTTAATTTCAAAGTTGTAATAAATATTAAACAAAATTTGATATCGTACTTAAGAACATAGGCTGCGAGAGTAAATAGTAATCCGACAGTGGCTTGGACTATACGGGCTGGAATGTCTTCTTTCTTTATCCTCTGGAAGTATAATTCGGGGTAACAGTGCAGCCAATAAGAAAGCTGACCGATAAAGAACAACTTTGAGAAGAAGGTTAACGGCGCTGGATAGTCTTTCCACAACGAAGTTATGTTCAATATTAAATCTTCTCTGAAAAGACAAATTTCTATTGTATTTAAGCATGTGTACAAAAATTTATGCTCGCCGTTATTAATTTTTTACCTGACAATTATATCTATACCCCAAATGGCGGATAAGGCATAAAATAATACAAGTTGACTGGATTCGTTGAATTTAGCAAGCTTTACCTTGCTGAGGTGAAGCCTTTTAGAAATTTTCTGAAAAATGCATAAGAACGCTGTTACGTACAAATGCTTTGAATAACGAGAAAAGAAATAATTATAAGATACAACTCACATCGAAGATATATTCTTGGAACACGGCGTGCATTACAATTGTTATCAAGAAATAAAAGAATACGGCACAGGCGTCCGTCCAACCGATAACATATTTCATTGGCACAGTTGGGTTTTCGATGTCCGAGGTTACATTGTGATGAATAGCTATGAACATGTACGCCCATGGTGATGTTGCCTAAAAAGTAATTCACACGATGAAGAACAAAAAACAAATACAGTGAAACCTCCGTGTCTGTCCTGCTATGCAATGTTTATTAGGTCCCGAAATATGACATATTTTTAAGTACGGATCGTAAAAGATAGTAATCGCAATTTCTAGGCATAGAATGTGGGGAATCAAACACCATACAATCTACTAGAATTGGCTTCCAGGTTGGAGCCGCGTTCAGAAGACGAGAGAGTCCAACGTTTTGCCAGCATTGCAGCTAGCTTCATCAGGGAATTAAATAATCTGATACTGATCAGAGATTATTTGATTCCCTGATGAAGCTAGCTGCAATGCTGGCGAAACGTCGGGCTCTCTCGTCTTCTGAACGCAGCTCCAACCCAGAAGCCAATTCTAGTAGTAATCACTATGGCCGCGAAAGCCTAAAAAGTATTAACTGTACAATCTGGTTTAACACATTTACATGCGTAAAATCAGAGACGAGTCAACGAAACACATTTGCAAGGAGACTCGATATTACTGTCCGATCTGTTCTGATAAACCTCCGTTATGTATCAGGCTTTGTTACAAATCCTATTATAAAGATGATTAATTATGTTGCTATAAAATTTTGTTATAAATACACGACGAAGTTGATTTTTGCTCAATTTAAATCTGTAAAAGATCATTCTCTTTAAATAATAATTGATGCATAATTTTTGTAGTATTTTTATCGAGTTTTTTTACATTTGTACATTTATGTTTGTGGGCACAAAAAATCTGCTTGTTCAAAGGCCTGTATGTTATAATATATTGAAAGTAGGACGAGCATACTCGTTTTGGCAACGCGTAACACCCTGCCAAAGACGAGTATACTCGTCCTTGGCAGCGACTGGGCGAAGATCAATTTACCGTGTACATAAATACGTATGGATCATTCGGTACCGGTGTTACCGAGTAACATATGGTTATTTGATCGACGATAAATAAAATATATCAAACTCTCATCGAGCAAACGTATACGTCGTTCGTTTAATTGCGTTGAATGAAATTAGATACAAGACATGAAAACAGATGCATAAGATATATAAATGTCATTGATATTGAGAAGTTGAACACTGACCTGCACCATTAGACCAGTCACAAAGATCATAGCCACACAAGAAACGATATCTCCATGGTTTTGAATGATAAACTCATGGCTGAATATCGGAGGATTCTTATTCGAACTTTTGCGGCCTTTTATCGCAACCATTTTTACAAGAAAACCACCGTTTCCCCGGGCAGACGATGTTCGATCACCCACAGAACCAACGTCGTCGAATGACTTTTACCAACTACCGACACGAATAAAGAAAGCCGCATCCAATTACACTGACACGCACACACATCGGAAACCAGCGCACAAAGTGACTGGCCAACGTTGCACTATGTGGCGCTTTCTGTCCTTACTTGTGTCACCACGGAAATCAAAAGAGTATCGAAATCATTTCTACACGTTGTCGATGTCGTGTATATTACGATATCTTTATGACAGCAATTTCAATGATAATTTTTTTTGCAATACCACATTAATCACTCGACACATAAACGTTTGAGCGTGCATTTATATGGACGTTATATTGTTCCCAAGAGCGATAAAGATTGCGGGTACAGCTGATAAGTTTAGTACTGTTACCGTGAATGACCGAAATTGGAGAATGTCAACTTTCACCGGTGAATGTCAACAGATACCAAATACGTCGGTGAAAGATCGAATATTTCATTACATTGTTGTACATTCGGACCCTCTACGGTGTGTGTCGACAATCACAGATATGCTCTGGTGGAGGTCCAAAACAGAAGAGTCAAAAAACAAGCGACTGGCTCTCTCCCGCCAAATCCTTTGTTCTGCTCGGAGTCAATCAGCTTTGTCAGTCTTATGCAAGCTTTGATAACGCGAGCAACGTTTTCTTAATTTTTTTCCCGATACCCTAATTTATACTAAATGGATACTGCAGTAAATCGTGATCTTTTTCTAACCCAGACCTAACCCAGACTTATTCCAGACCTAACCCAGACCTAACCCAAACTTATTCCAGACCTAACCCAGACCTAACCCAGACCTAACCCAGACTTAATTCAGACTTATTCCAGACCTAACCCAGACCAATTCATCGCTGATAACGGGGGTTAGGTCTGGGTTAGGTCTGGGTTAGGTCTGAATTAAGTCTACCCTGGCGTGTCTTCCGCCCCTGGAGCTCCTCGCTTGGAGAAACCGACAAGTGTACCGTCACTCCAGGGAGCTCCAGGAGGCTGGGAGACCGCCAGAGGAAAGGAGGCAAGCGGTCGAGGAGACGAGGCGCCATGCCCAACGGACCGTTGTATTTATGTGGTTCCAGCAAATGATTCCGGCTGGAGCCACGCAACGGTCCGTTGGTGCAGTCCTGCCACATTGGCAAGAGTGGCAGGACAAACCGGGTAGGCTGTCCTACAGGATGACACAGGTACTCACCGGGCATGGTTGCTTTGGTGAGTACCTGTGTCGAATCGGGAAGGAGGCGACGGCGGTGTGCCACCATTGTGGAGGACCCCAGGACACGGCGCAGCACACGCTGGAAGTCTGCCCAGCGTGGGCAGATGAGCGCCGTGTTCTGGAGCAGGAATTGGGAAGAAATCTCTCGCTGGCTACCATAGTGGGAAAGATGGTGGCCAGCGAGAAAACCTGGCAAGTGGTGGCCTCCTTCTGTGAAGTTGTTATGTCACAGAAGGAGGCCGCCGAGCGGGAGCGCGAGCGGACCGCGCATCCCGCTCGGAGAGGGAGGGCTCGGAGAGGGGCCAGAGCGAGGCATCCTTCGCCTCCTGGCCCCCTCCGACGCCCTTGAGGTCTAGTGGGACCTCCAGAAGTGGGGCGGCCCGCCAGCACTCTCCTCCGACCACCACGATATCGGAGGTCAGGAGATTGGCAGGCCGCCCCTGGGGGTTGCAGGTGCTCGGTGCAAGGGGCCCGAGCACCGAAGGCAGCCCCGGGGCTGCGGGCGTCGGGTGACCTGGCGTCCGTGGCGGAGAAATCAGGGGGGGGAAGGACATGTCGTCCTTCCCCCCGGGATGAGCCTCGACAGGCAAGGCGCGGCGGGGGACTCTGTGATGTCTCACTAGAGTTCCCGGTCCCTCGCCGCAGCGCCGGAGGACGGTCACCGTGGGGTTTTAGCCGGTAAGAGTCCGGCACTACCCCGAGGCCCCCCCTACTTAGGGCCTCGGGGTGTCCATGAGGATTTCCCCACGTACAAAAGGTCTGAATTAAGTCTGGGTTAGGTCTGGGTTAGGTCTGGATTAGATCTGGGTTAGGTCTGGGTTAGGTCTGGGTTAGGTCTGGGTTAGATCCTTTCAGAAAGAGAGGCGAAAAAGTTACGTCACCCTTGTGACGTTTTATAGCGACTGAATTACGGGGAAGAAAATATAAATCTCCAACATGTTCAACACTCACCATTAGTGCATGGTGAATGTCAACATTTACCGGTGAAAGTCGACATTCTCCAGATTTCGGTGTTTCACTGTAACAGTACTATTTTAATAATCTAACAGTCGAATGCTACGAACAAACATTGAATATTTGAGCATTCGAAATTATTTAAATAACACTATTCAAAGAATAAAATTATTTTAATATAATCCCACGAGGGGGTCCGGGCCAATACGTTTCGATGTTTATAAGATACACTTTATTGAGAGTATTAGGTACATTTTTAGTGGTCACGATATACTTATACATACGCAATTTATGCACCAGTTTCTAGAATTGTGCAATTACCACAAGTATTTCGTGAAACGTTTAACTATCGATGAATAAATATAGTTATGCGACGGTAAAGTGAAAATACATATTCAACAGTTCGATGTCGGAACAAAATAATTTCTGTATGCTACTTATTCTGCCAGAGATAAACTGTAAATTCATTGATCAACAATGACTCGAAAATATACATCTGTAATCGTAAAAATAATATATTTCTTTCAACTTTTATATCTTTATTACGCTATTGGTTAATCGTCAATGGTATGATATTAACGCCTGTGTATTCTTTTTTTCTTTTTTTTGTATATTACTGCTTGTTCGTGTCAGCATGATTTGATGTTCGTTCGTATATGGTTTTTAGGTGAACACACGACGTACGACGAAATTCGGAATATGCACGTAGAAACGTGCACGAAAACATTTTATATAACTATAAGTTTTATATTTACGCGCGAAGGCGGAACACGATAAATGGCGTACACAACAGCCATTCGTTATTTCAACATCGTTATTTTGATCTGCGTCTTGTATTACGATTGAAAAAAATCTTTTTTAAAGCATAGGTTATACTTAACGGATACGCTTTAAGTATAATTCACGTTTCATTCGTCATCGTCATCGCGCAATTAGGCCAAAATAAATTTATGTATCCACAGTCGACGGTGCAAAGAGGGTGATCTTCAAAAGTTTATAGTTCCTTCGAGGGATATCTTCGTAAATATTTAAACATTTTATTATATAGTAGTTGTTTGTCTTTAACGGTTATTAGCGTCGCTTATGCATATGCTTTTTCAACAACATCTATTGTCTTTATAGTTCTCTAAACATTCGCATCTTTAGCAACGACGTCAAACACATTGACTGCCACGTCACCCAATACATCGGGCGACAGAACTTTCAACAGCGAAGCTAAAAGAAAATAAATTCAAACAGGCTTCATAAATTTCAGCGAAGCTGTTACCGAAGCAGTTTACAATTGTCTGAAATCAAAGTTTTCGTTTTCGTAAACAATTTTACGGTCTTGGACTTGGCAGTCGACGTGTTGAACAAGTAATCCGCGCAATCTTTCTTTAAATACGTATACACATCTTTGTTATTAGCCTAGTTTAGGATTCAATGACAAGTATTATACCATTATATTCTTCGTGCAGTGTGTATTCTCTAATATATCTGGAAAAGGTTGCTCTTTCTTTCAAATCAACACTTTATCGACTATCGCTACAGAACTGTTACATTTCAAAGCTTTCAAATAATAATCGTAAGTTGTAAAGAGCCTTCTCTCCTGCGCGGCTCGTATTTTACACAGAAACGTATACGTGCGTCGTTAATCGTTAGAAAATGTTATTTTTTTTTCCTCAGCAAGTTTCTATTAACATTATTAGTTCGTATCGGTGATATTAGTCAAAATTCACGATATACGAATGAACTCGTAAAAAGGTCACGATCGTTCGTACTGTAACGTCATGAGCTTGGTTTCTAAAATTTCTTTAGGAAATAGTAAAGTCCTACTGTACACACGAGAAAACAATTACGAATTTAATATTCGTACGACTCGTCGTGTTTAAATATATGAGAAATATACGAGTACAATAATAACACGAATTAAATCTAAATACTCTTGTGGTCACAAGCCTTAAACATTAGCAAAAATCTTTTTAATGTTTACACGCAACCAGTACGACTTAGAGGTCTTTGGTTTTGCCCCCGAAGTGTCGTCTGACGTTGCAAATTATGTTTTGAGGTAGATAAGTATATTCTTCAAATAGCTTTTCACAGCTATCGGTAAAGCTAAACCAAAGGATAAAAGTTTCTCGTCAAAGAAAAAATGCCACGTTAAGTTTAAATTTTTTATGTATCGAATTTCCCCGCTCCGTGAGAGTTTTTTTTATCCGACTTGTGATTCATGTTTAGAACTGAAAGGTTTAACGATGAAGTAGCACGATGCATTCTAAAAAGTATTGCTTTTATTCTAACGAACTCTTGTTCGAAGTTACCGTGAAAGTATCGAGCGCCAAACGTGTCGTTCCGCATTTCAAAATTCGCACGATCGCGATGAAGTTACTCTGACCGATATCAACATTCTATACAGATGAGTGTAACAAACGCGATGTCGAGTGTGTCGAGAATGTCTCGTAAAGATTCATCAAGTACGAAAACCTGAAATTTACCGAGACTCGAATATCGCGTCGAGAGATTATCGTCACCATTTGGTGTCCATCTTTCATCATCACATTCAACTGTGGTTACATCTTTTAATTGTATTACACCATTCAAATATTATATACTATATTAATTTTATATCGTCGTTTACCTTACTCTCAAAACAATACCAATGACAATAAATATTTAACACTGCCCGTTATAACAATATAATCTTTCATCGTAATCAATGAAAATGCCATCTAGATTTTCCTAACTCGTTTTTTGTTTCCTTAACCTATGAAGGGTATACTTTACCTCCGCATTTCAGGTACTATCTTTGTACCTACTTCTCACCTGAGTTTAAAACCGCGTGAAAAAAACACATAACTTCGATATATTCGGAACAAAATATTACTCTGTAATTCTTTGTCATGACAATGATGTGCAATAATTTTCTATTTATTTAGATTTTGTTTCACATTCAAGATGCTTGGCGCGCGTCTTGTTATCAAACAACGAAACATACAGACGAAGGGTGCGCGTACACATTGCAATTTTGCAATCGTTGATAAAATACTTAACTTACATTAAATCCCGCAGAACGCTCGTATTCTACGAACTTTTTTCTCTAAAATTTGATCTCTCAACTCATAAATAATAACGGAACAGGATTATCGTAATGCCATACAATACTGTAATACTCTTCAATGAATTCTACTTTTCACCATTTTAACCGTGTACAATTTACGGAATATTACCTTACACCGCATACCGTGACGTGCAATTTGTTGTTTAAACGAGGGGATCGTTATCGAGATCCATCTCTTCGACGGTTATGTAAAGACCCTCTTCCTCGTACGTAGACTCGTGCTTTGCTAAAACTTTTAGTAACGGCCGGAGTTTCATCCACCACTGGTATGTTGGAATGCGATGCCTATAAAATTAAAAAGAAAAATAATACTTGACGTAAAACTGTTCGAGCTAAGCACGTATATCTGTAGTTTGTATTAAATTTTATGCACTCACTCGAAATCAGTATCTTCGATCAGATCTGAGAATGGTGTAAATCTGTACTGCCTTCGCACTATACCGATCATAACCGCAGTGTTGGCATCCATAGTTCTCGTTTGGCCTTCTGCGTTGGTATTTTTCTTTAATTGTTCGCTGAACCATTCGACCGCCTTAGAACCCATCTTTGTACCCAAATTTCGGTCAAACGGCGTCGGTGAACCACCTTGTTGCATATGACCTAGAAAAATATTTCTATTGTTTGTAAAACGATGTTGCAAAAAATTATAGTATATTGTAGCGTTAGTCAACTGTCAAATGCATACCAATAATGTTCATTCTACAACTGAACAGACCCTTTCCTTCCTCGCTAAATAGTCTCTGCATGAAATCTGTATTGTAATTCAAATTGGCGTTCTCATTTCTTAGAATAAGACCTCTTTGTACGCCCTCGGACATCTTGGCGGCCATCGCGATGACATCTTGATTTAAATCTTTGATATTAAACTTTTCCTCGAAAATATATGCTGCGTCGGATCCACCGGCTAATCCAGCAACTGTAGCTAAATAACCGCAATAGCCACCCATAGTTTCGATAATAAATACTCGGCGTTTTGTACCCTGCGCCGATTGACGGATTCGATCACAGATCTAAAAATAAACATGAAGTCACGATCCTAACATTAAAAAATCATTGACTAATATTAAGAAACTACAATTAATTTTACCTCCGTAATTTCATTTAAAGCAGTATCACAACCTAACGAAAATTCTGTCCCAGGAACATTGTTACTGATAGTCGCAGGAATCATAGCAATAGGAATTCGAAATTCTTCGTACTTATCCCTAGCTTTGTAGAAAGTAAGCCCTGTTTGGTAGCCCTTTCGAAAGGAAGTAATGGTTTTATAATAAAAAAAAATACAGTTGCTCCAAATAGCGTTGCTATCAAGTGGCTTTTAACGATCGTTACCTCAAATCCTCCTATAATAAGTAAAGCTTGAATTCCAAATTCCTTGAGCTTCTGAGCAATTTGCGGTAACTGATCTTCCTTCGGCGGAGTACGTTTTGTTCCTAAATAAGCACCACCTTGAGCTACCCATCCGGTAACAGAAGGCCAATCCATCAGTTTGAACTTTCCGGACGTGAGACCCAATATTCCATCGCAAATACCGTAAACCTGGAAATATATGCTGTGAGATTTCTACTATAAAAATCAAGAATAAAAACAAACAATTATAATACAATACCTTGTCGCCCCGATAAATACAGTTTCTAACAAAGGAACGCACCGCTGCATTCATACCGCAAGAAGGCGATCCTATATGCATTACACCTAACGTGTAGTGTTCCTGAAACAAAATTTTCTAATAATTCGACGGAAAAATTTGTCGTTGATCCATGCAGCGTACACATAAAACACGAACACATTCTGTAGTCTGACGTAATGTTCGGTATTAATTATCGTATGATGCTTATGCTCATTCCCATCCGCTTAGCAAAACACTTGCTACGTACAAAAAAAAAAATACATGAAAATTATAGTAGTAATAATCTGATGATGTAAAAGTTGGTTAACTCACTTGTCCACATAAAGTGAATTGCTAGTTTAGAAGGAAAAGATGAAAAGTGTTAGAAAAGGGCTGTGCACAACTAGGCGTGAACGATATTCAGCAAAAAATAAAAATAAAATGACACTCATAGCTCTTTCTAAACAAATTTACCTTTGTCAATGCGGGGCCATTACTTTCCTGAAGCAATATTAAATAATACATATAATATAGGTAATTGTCCACTTCCGTGTACGTGTATGTTAATCATTAGAACTGAAAATCTTCATATTACTCTTGTTTTTCAGCGGTTATTTATTAAATTAATAGTTCGATAAATTCATATTTGCATAGTTATTGATTAATAGCTCCGACAGAAGATGTTAAGTTCATGGTAATTCTAAATACTATAATAGTAAATATACGACGATAACATACTTTATGCGGGTCATGATCCACGGGCGCCTTTAGACGAGTCAACATCTTGTACGTCTCTAAATTACGAGCGAATCCTCTAAAAATAGTTTTGATGATGTATAATACAATTCGTAGACAAATATATGTTACAGACAATTTAGCTTACTTTCCACGAAGTTGAACGGCAAGGTCCCAGTTTTTATCGGCCATAGCTTGTGCTACTGCTTTTGTACGACGAACGCACTCCATAAGCGGTAACCTAACCGCTTGATTTCCGTCTAATGTAACGACACAAGCTTCAGTCTCCGGTGTTGCTTCCATCAAAGTCATCACGGATTCTGCACCCATTCGACAACCCTATGGAATATTATTAAATTCATAAAATGTTCTCCAATTAATCAGAACTAATGCTGATACTGTTCGAATATCTTTGATCAATTAATCATGCATATCAATTTAAAGAAAGCACTAACCAAAACTCTGTCAAAAGCCGATGGATTACCACCTCTTTGAACATGACCAAGCACGGTGATCCTAGTATCTTGTTGTAGCTTTGCAACGACGACATCGTGAACTTTCTCGGCAGTAATTGGCTCGCCATTCCTGTCCACGGCTCCCTCAGCTACGATAATAATATTAAGTCGTTGTCCAGTGAGCCGTTCCTAGGAAATAAATATTCCCAATCTTGAAATGTTTACAGAAGGCTCAAATGGCGAATCGTGTGAACAATTAAAAGCACAAATGCCATCCACAGAATAATCTCAGCTAAAGGGAAACGAATTTTAAATTTAATGAACCTGATACGTGGACATCAAGTAAAATAATATCAATGAACACATATGATTAATGCACATTACGTTACCATACGAAAAACCTGTTAACGTTAGTTAAATTCAAAAATGTTTAATTAACGTGCACCTAAATAGTGTATAAAAGCACGCTACACAGAGTAAAGCTTACCGTGAGAAACAAAGAGATAACTAAAATGATCAAAGAATATCTGTTTCCATCTGTTACCGAACTAGAAACGATAAAGTATAATATTTAAAGAAAAAATTATTTCTCTGCGTATAGTAAACAATAGGGATATACAGCTAACTTTATTTAACCGTGTAAAAAATTATAAAAAAAAAAAAAAAAAGAAATTTCGAACCTGCAGCAATTTTCTGCACAGCTTGCTTGGCCAATCCTGCTCAGGTGGCCACTCTGGGATGAACACAAAATCAGCTTCGCAACATATGGCTGCCACTAGAGCCAGGTAACTGTAATAGTATGTTATAAAAGCTAGCTAAAAATGTTAAGATAATATGAAACGATCGATAACTATTTTAAATCAAAGAATTAATGGTTTTCGTACAGGGCCAATAAAAAATATAAAGATCCCGGCTGTTTCCGTAATATCTATGAACAACTGTTACGCGCAAAATTTTAATGTATCTGATCAGTAATTAGCATACTTTTATTTCATCGCAAAGTCTAACTACATCGATGAAGGAGCAGCACACGTTTAATAATGAATGATATGAGATATATAATAATGTCTGGCCATGGTAAGATTTTATTGTAGGTAGATATATGTCTGTAGGTATTAATGTAATGATCTATCAAGGACGTGCCTGTCGCAAAGCTTCGCAAAGTTCCTCGACCCAATCACCTGTCGGTGGTGCTTCAGGTATAAAGGAATAACATGCTTCCGAAGATAAACTTGAGGCTAACGTCAGATACCTGAAAGACTCTATCTTTATTATCTTTCCTATATTAAATTTAACTTATTTAAATTTGTTCGTATTGTCTTAACGAATAATTTGATTCTGTGTACAATTGGAAAGAGGAAATAAGTATAATATGAAGTGGCAGTTTTTCTTTTTGTTGTGTGACATGAACAACACAAGTAAGCAATCAGAAATACACGAAAAAATGCAAATTATAAAATTTGTTAAATTAAGTTAGTGAAATACAACATTGTGACCAGAGATTTCGAAAATTCCTAATCAACATGCCTGCTCCAACTTTCTACATAGTTTATCAGGCCAGTCAGCAGGAGGTGGTGACTCCGGGCAGAAAACAAAATCTGCTTCTGCAGCTAAAGCACCCACAATTGCCAGATACCTATCCAAAAGTTAACCAAACCTATAGATCGTATTACAGGACTGAACGTTATTTAATTAATTAAAAACTACCATTTCAACAGTGCATGTCTTTTATGCCGCTGAAATATCAATATTTCTCAGAATACAATTAAGATTTTTTTAATTATTATAAAATAAGTAAATAAATAATATGTATTGTTTCTCTCACCGAAACAAACGATACAAGTATATATCCGCTCGGTAAATATTTTCTAATGACGCGTAACAGTTAACTTACCCGCAATGGCGACCCATAACTTCCATAATGAATGTTCTTTGATGAGAATATGCAGTACTGACGATCGCATCGATGCTCTCAATAATACGATGCAACGCAGAATCGGTACCAATGGTCATATCGGTTCCGCAAAAATCATTGTCGATCGAACCCACCATACCGACGATATGCAAGTGTTGAAACTTATCCGCTTGCTCCGCAGTTATTTCACCTAATGATCACGGAATATCATAAATATATGCAATAATTGTAATAAAAATTTGAGCAAAAATCACTTTGTCCTTACCAGTCTGTGCTAACTCTTTTAGTAAATCAGCCCATTCTTCTTTGAAAAGGTTTGCACCGGTAAGGGAACCATCACCACCAATTACAACTAGATTAGTTATTCCGCGAGTTACTAAATTTTTAGCTGCTTTTCTGCGACCAGAGCGTTCTCTGAATTCTTTGCATCTAGCAGAACCTATTACTGTACCACCCTAAAATGCACATATGATTAGTATGTACCTTATACCATCGCTCGTGATGATGTAACAGAAAGTAGTATGACTGCATACATACCCTATGAATGATGCAAGATACAGAGGACCAAGATGCCTCCACAATATTATTTCCGCCATCCACCATGCCCTGATAGCCTTCTTTGATAAAGAAAACTTTGCATCCTAAATAAATCCCCATTCTAACGACTGCTCTCACCGCAGCGTTCATTCCTGTGAAATGTATCGCAATAAACATATGATTAAATATACTTTGCATAATATTTATATTCCATTGAAGCTGTATTTTTCTTACCTTGGGAATCACCTCCACTGGTAAAGACTGCGATGCCTTTACCTTTGTGACTACCAGGCTTTATAAATCTTTGTGCTGCTAAATCTTCTGCCATGTCTAGACCGTAGTATTGCTTATGTCTCTGCAAAGTAAATAACAATAATACTTTATGACACATTATCGGTAAACATTGATTTGTTTGCCTGTGTTATAGACTCATCGACTTGAACTTCTGTAACGTCCATGGTATTGTAACAAAGATCCATGGGAATGTGCATTGGAAGGCCAAGATAATTCCGTGAAAACATCTAATCAAGTTTTTTATCAATATGTTAACTAATACAACCGTGTAACAAAAAGTGTAATTCATCGTATGTATCGTAGCTATTTCATACATAACTCACTTGTGGAAAAATTGTAGAAAGTTTCAAATTTTGCTCGAGAGGTTTTCTTTTTTTACTTATTTGACTATTACTTTCAATTTTGACATCTCCTGAAAACCGTATACCTTGCATATGTCTAACAGAATTTTAATCTATACTCTCTAAACTTAACTCTACATTATTTTTTATAGTTCTGATAAACTTCAAGTTAATCTCTATGATAATTTTATGGTTAATATGTTACCTTTTGTTGGAATTAAAGACTGAATGGAATCCTCTTTTTCCACATGGTCTTTGGTTAGACAAGTACATAATGTACTACTATTATTTACAGACATGCCTCGAGAAAAATGTGTGCAACGAATTTAAAAAAAAAAAATTAAAAGAGTAATATGTTACATGTACAAAGAATATAACCTCGGATAAACAAAAAATAAAAGTATTAACATTAGAAAACTGTTTTATTGCAACATGAACATAGGCTTGATGCAATTTAAATATGGACTTATCAACTTAGAGATGTATTCATATTTACAAATTCTTCTATTTTCGGATACGATGTTTATTATCTTTATAACATAAAATTGAAACGTACATTCTAGTTTTGCTTTAATAGCAACATACATTGCATAAGTATCGTTTCGTAGCGATGTAATATGTGACGTGAAATCGTAAAATTAAATTTATAGATTATCGTATCTATTAGGCATCGTGAATGAAGCGAAACGCATCCACACCAGGTATTATTTTCTCAAAGGGCATTGCAACACAAAAGTTCTTCGAGCAGTCCTTCATATTTTAAAATAAAATAGCATGTGTACAAAGAATCAATGGAATCTGGCACAGACTCAAATTGCCGCGCATCAAAACATCAGAACAACAGCAATACGCACAGTATAGATCATTTGAATTAGATTGTCTAACAACGGGATATTTTCTCTACGAACACCACTATACGTACAGTTGTCGATATAATTTATAAAACAGGCAAATCGATACGGTACGTTCACGCGTTATTTTATTCAATTTTGCTAATCGCGATCGAGAACTGTTTGTCCGTTGCAATGTGTATACGATGTAATGTCACACTGTCACTGACAATCAATCGGACAGGGTGGATCATCCATTATCGTTGAATGTCACACAGGTAAAGTAGGTCTTCGTTCTACTCACCTAATGAAAATATATCCGTTTACGATGAAAATCAGAGCGGGGACGATCCTCTTGATCTTAAAGTGAATGAAGAATTCGCGGTCATCCGACTAAAACGTCAGATACCGCTTCCACGTCTTGTGCCTGACTAAAACTGAAGGTGACCTTTATCTGTGCCTTCTGTACGAAGCCCTCCCCCACCAAACGGTATCGGTTGCTTCTCGCCCCACTCCATAATAGAATTAAACTTAGGAAACGTCCGTAGATGGTGTTAGTGGCACGTTCGTCCACCAATCACCGGGCTTCGTCGCTCCCGCTGCGTTCCCGGAAACTATTTTAAATCTTGTCTACTAAAAACTTTGACATCGAACGTTATCTATGTGTCAAAATCGTTTGTCAATAAGGATAGACGATTGGTTAGGAGTACGAAAATAGCAAAAGAGCCAGTATCCTCGTACGCCAACATGTCCTAACTCGATTCGCAACATTATGAAATTACTCCATACCCAAGCATTCGAACACATTTTGGCCTGAGAACCAATTTGCACTATAAATTCTTTTATATGACGCTTAAATATGCACAATTATCCCACGCTGAAGAACACTGGTACAAAGGAAGAGGATTCGTCGCGGATACGTGTCGGTAGCCTCGTAGTTACTTACCTCCGTTTCCTAGAATGTTTCGTCATCGCGCATCACCAATCGACCCGATTTTTTGCCGGAAAGAATTCGATGATTCCATTCGTTGCTTCTTGGTGTTATTTATAAATGGCGCTAGAACTTCGTTGCGTCTTCCTTTTAATCTTGCTCTTTTATTAGCGTTTATTACTGTACGATTAAAACGACATTAATCTATGACAATCTAGATAATTGACGAACAACAAACCCATGATCATGGAACAACAAAAACCAGAAACGATTAAAAATGATTAACATTTTTCGTCTCTTTATCTATCGCGATCACCGCCCGATGGCTACGAACAGCAATGGATCCTCACGAGATTACTACGCATAAAAAATCCTTGCAACATCTAACCGTGGCTTACGCAAGCTCTGCTAGATAACGTCCCAAAGGCCAATATAAGTCTTAATTACTCTTAGTAACAAATTGGAATAAAATTTCGATCATTTAAATTCAAGCATTTAAAAAAATTGAAATTTTTAACAGTTCATACTGTACACGTATTGTACTTGAAAAAATCTAGCTGAAAAATAATAAAAAAAAGCTTCCCAAATCTGTTTGCAAGACAACAGCGACAAATAAATAATTCTGGGTTTAAAATAATTTGTAATTACCTATTATTTTCCTTTTCTTGGTATTTATGGGAACGCCCCTAGCAATAGGCAATCCGATCTGACGCAACCTTACGCTTTGAAGACGTGGAATTCGTAATATATAGTTAAAAACACCTCCATAATTGGTGGTCCTTAATATTATTCATAAGAGTATGCTAAACACTCATCTTCGAACAGAACGGGATAAAGACAAGCAAAGAAACAACTAACGAACTAATAAATCGAATGCCTCGTGGACTACAAAGCTGCAATAAAAAACAAACGAACACGCAAAATTTCTATTATGCATTAACTAAAAACATACTAGTGGCCGGATAACTTTAGCGAGGCTAGTTTTGCTTCAGTCTCTAAAAAAAACTTTTTTTCCTTTTACACATACATTAAGTTTTTATTTACAAATTGTTATATTTAATTATAAAGTAAGCTAATAAATACTCGTTTAAAATAAGTATTCAATTAACGTATACTTTCTCAACTTGTAATTCTCCACAAAATTTGCTTAATACTTAAGGTGGCCGGATACTTTTGTGACCAACAGTAAAATAAAAAAAAAAAAATGAAAAAAGAAAATAGTATTCGCGTCGCATACAGACGACGCAGGTATCATATTTAGGAAAACTCTCAAGGTATGGCCGCGGAAGCTTGAACGCGTCGATGTCCGACGATCACGATCGTCGAATAAGAAAACCAGTCATTCAAGATCCGAGACTTCTCGAATTTCGACGCCATCACCTGGGAATAACGTTTCTACGTACCGACCTCTACGTACTCGACGAAAACGATGCCCACGTCCGATTCAGGGACTCTCAACCACGTTCTGAACGTTAAAAAAAAAAGAAAGGAATAAGTCGTGTTCGACTACGTCGATTCACCCAACGATCGTTTCGAAGCTTTGCAACACGATCTTACAAGGGTTGAGACTCGCTGATCCGACGGTCCTCCTTTTCGAATTCTCTTGCTGCGAGACGCCTGGCACTTTTGCTTTTGATTCGAGCGGGGAAAGCCATTTTTTCTTTACATTCCTAATTTTGTTTCATTTCATAGTAGATCGGCTACTCATAGCAAAAAGATCCTCTTCTACCAGTAATGCGTATAAATTGTGCAAAAAACGTAGCATGATTAATCTTAGGTAGGCCCTTCTTTTTTTCCGAAAAGGCACGTACATATACATAGTACTTCATATATGTATATATATGTATGTATAGTATCTACATAATGCGTAATCGCGTGTACAAGTATACATGTAGACGTATCTTCGGACACGAATAAACAAAATAAGGGGAATACGTCTAATACGATGATACTCATAATCAGCAATTGTAATCGATTAATGGTTAAGGCGACGAAAAATTTGCCGGGAGCGTTGCGTTCTATTTTTCGTCGATCCCCGTTTATCACCGGTTCCGAGTTCCTTTTTTCGCGACGTCTTTGCCCCGAACGCCAGCCCATCGACTCCCTTCCATCGTAATTCCGATCACACCACGGATGGAAAACAAAAAAATATCACCACACGCTGTACACGATCCGTAAACTCGGAATAAATTTCTTCTCCCATGTGCCTTTCCTCGTTCGAGTCAGGGTGAACAAAAGTCGAACCTAACCTCCTACCTACGCTAATCCTTTCTAACCTAGGTGCAACGAACTTCGAACCAACAATAACGAAGATGACGGCGATGACCGATGATAGTAGTAACGCTAATAGTAACGAAGAATCCTTATCGCATAGGAACACTTGTGCTCACACACCTGCGTAACGTTTTTCAAACCAAATTCTAGAATCTGTACTCGGAAACACTGTCGGGGAGCCATTCACGATGCTCGAACTGGAAACAAATTTTTCGGTAATCGTGCCGGTAATTTATTATCGGCATTCAAGGCTCGAGAATAAGTTCAGATTTTAGACAGTTAATTCCAGTACAGATTTCAACTTGGCAAAGAAGATTGTCTGTAAGCATCGCAACGAACGTGCTCTCTTTCTCTCTTTCTCTCTCTCTCGCAACAACTACCGGTACATCGTCGCTGGATTCAGTATAGGAAACATGTACTTCGGTACAGGCTCAGGCTATGCTCGCCTAAGTCAGCGTTGGGCAAATTTTAATCAAAGTAACGATCGGCAATTACGATTAAAATGGATAATGGTTAATCGGTCACGAGGGTAGACGATTAAATCACTCGCTACGATCGTCGATCAAAGTAATCGTTATCAGTGCTTTAACAAGGTGGAAAGAACACTTGTTCATGGCATTACAATTTTATCTTAATAATAAATGGTCATCGGTTCGCCCCTCGTGCTTAAAATTTTAGCTTTGACAGACATTTGATACAGATTTTTGTACAGTAATGCAAAACATTTACGTACATATGTTTTATTACTGTACCAAACGTAGAAATATTTAGAAAACACCAAAACTTTTGTGCTAACATTAAAAAATGTAACTTTGTTACGATGGCAAGTGACAAACGATTAATTCAATCATCGATCATCGTGTTCGACGAACGTTAAACGCAGTCGGTGCTAACTAAATTTTTAATTTAAAAAAAATTCTATAGATCTTATTTTAGTTTTAGAGTAGAGGTAATCGATTAATGCCCAACTCTGGCCTAAGTCCTTGTACACTGTTGGCTCTCGCATTTCGTTCACTTCTATCTCCGATTCATCATAATTCTCGCTATCACCGAGCCCGATGGTATCCCAGAACCCGATGATATTGCTGAGGCAAGGCAACCGAGGTTATAGTGTTCTCTTCTCTCAGACATTTTATCAGAATTTATTATTTCGTGTAAACGTTTATAATAATTATAATTTACAATTACGATGGTTGATGATAAATACAAATAGAACAACGTAAGTCGGGACGAGGAAATCAGGTAGGTTCAACGGATAAAACAGGTATCGGAAGTGGTTTACGGAGGCTAGCTTCTTCAACGAGTGGAACGAGACAATATCCGACGAATCAAGGGACATAGTAAATCGGAATGAAAGACGATGCGTTTTGTCGTACGTAATTATAACGCAAAACGATAAAACATTTTGACAATCGATATATTCATTGTAAACCCTTGACACGATTTAATAAAAAATACGAACGGGTGGGGGAGGATGGCAAAGGAAGATGGCGCAGGAAGAGACCAAAATAAGCGAATCGTAGTTAGGATAGATCTCTGCAACCTGCGAAGAATATTCGCTCTTTTTTTTAATGTATCGCGTTAATTTGCCATGATGGTTATACATATATATATATATATGTTTAAAAAATAATAATAAATAAATAAATGAAAAGGCGTAACATTTACATATCTTAAAACTGAAGAAAAAAAAAAGATACCGCAAGGCGATAAAAGACCGAGCGTCGATTGAATCGAATTGACGTTTTTTTTTTTTTTATTGAGGAACAGAGGAATACGCGTTTTTGGAACGGTTTGTTGAACGAACGTCGACGATTCGGGAATTTGAAAAAGGACGAAGGTAAAGGGGGAGGGAGGTGGGGGGTGGAACCATGAATACCGGTACCAGCGAAAAAATGGTCGAATAGTACAAATATAGCGTTTGGACCTGCTGCGCGAGATCGAGACGAGTATCGTGTAACAGGCAGCAAACGAATGAACTCGTTACCTTGAATATGATCAGGGTTGTATAATATCGTGACGTAACAGCTACCCCGGTCCCGCTCAGCTGGCCCATCTTTAATAAACTGGTTTCAAGGATGCTCTCTCCGAAGATCTTTCTGCACCCCTTCATCGTTTCATTCTCACTTTTTAGTCTCTCTTGCATCGGTAACTGATACATTGACGATAAATAACGTAGAAAGCGCGCGGCTCGATCAGCGTTTGCGAATGAAATTCCCATCGATCGCGATAGCAAATCCACTACTGCCCCACCATCGATTGCCCGATGTAATCAATCGCGTGGAAACCGTACGAAATCGATCTTACGGCTACCTTTGCAAAATCGACTCTTTTTCTTTTTTTTTTTCCCCCTCTTTTAACTCTTTGTTCCCGGAACGTTCATTCGCTTTCGTTCGTTTTGATACGACAGAAAACACGGACACATCGAAAGATACAACACGTCAGGAAAACGTTTACCCACACACACGTTGTAATATCGATAATCGTTAACTTGTTTCCATGTAGTTACACATTTACGTTTTTAGTGTGTTTGTTTGTTTAAGGGTTTAGGAGTAGGCGCGCGTATATTACACGTACTTACAAGTATATGTGCCATACGAGACGAAGAATGCGACACAGTTTTTTTCTTTCTTTTTTTTTCTTTTTCTTTTTTGTTTCTCTATGCTCCTCGAAGCATTTGGTACGGGGGGATGGAATTGGACCGAACCAGAGGCGGACGGTGGATGTTCAAGGGACCTGAGCCAAACATTTTGCGACAAAAGAACAAGATCAATAAAAAAAACAAACCAAAGCGAAAACGTACTTGTTATTTCATTTATTTTGCATATCGTAAAAAAAAGTTGACTGGTTTATAACATAGAAACAAATGGAATTTCTTCGGTTTTTGTTTTATTTAAGTCGGCGAAAACTGAAATATTCTCGCCATAGAATTTTTATGTAAAAACGTAAAAATGGATTTTTCTCGCGGCCCTCAAATAATTAGAAGCAATTAGTTCGTACATATATACATATCAATCCGCCCCTGGACCGAGCGTATCCGTTGCATTCGAACGCGTCGATTTCGATTTAACGTCCGATTCCTTTTTCACTTGTTCGTTTCATGTTTTTCTCTCTTTCGTTTTCGGAATGGCAACGGGTAATATGTCCCTCGATTTTCGAAGTTTCGATTCGGGGCGATCGGACCCGTTAAATCCGTCGCCCCGAGAAACCAGCAATAATCATTCCCGATTTTGCGTGACGATTTCAATGAAGTTCGGTTTCAAGATGTTTTCTTCGAATTAAAAAGAAAAATCGTGAAAAAACTTGTGTATCATTTCTGTCGCGAGTCGAGTCCAAAAAAGTTATTCTACGCGATAGATAGTCCGGAAAAACGATTATACAATTGATGGAATTGCTGGAAACAACGAATGATATTCGAGCTATCGACAATTTCCACGAGATCGATCGTGTCTATAAACTGAATATATATATATACATATATGTTAAAGAGAACATCGGGACGATATAATTTTTTTTTTCGTTTTTTTTTTCTTAATACACGTACACAATTTGTTCTCGTTTTCTTCTTTTCCTTTCTTCCATTGCGATAGAAATTATCAAATCGACGGTAAATATCTGTTGTATATATATTATTGTGTATAATATATCTGTATATATATATATATATGTATATATGTATATATATAACATATATGGGGATAGGGGGAGAGAGATAGAGAGAGAGAGAGAAGAGGTGGGTGATCAAGAGGATGCAAGAGTAAGTCGAGAGTCAGGAAATAGGGACAAGAAAAATTTTTTCAAAGATCGTCGCGTAACAGATCGGTTGCTCGAAAAAAAAAAAAAAAGAAAAAAGAAATTGGTGTTCCCTTTCCTCCTCGATATTCGTGCAACTTGCAACAACGGACGGTCACAGCGTGTGTAAGGATTCAGAAACATATTTTTAGGACTATACGGCGTTTCACTCACCTCGATGTACTGCAATTTACACACGCCAACGATAACAGAACGCAATCTAGTAACGATTTTGTACGTACGGATTCAAGATCTTTTTGTTTCCTTTTAAGTGAGCATTCAAAACGTGCTAAACGTATCAGACGTTTACGGATACAAATTCCCAATGAAGGAAAAGGAAAGCGAATGCGTCGCGCCCCAAAAAAAAACTTAACGTTCTGTGTGTATATATGCCTGCTGTGTGTGTGTGCTCGCGCACACGCGCGCGGGAGCGTTTCAAATAACGGTGAACGTGCAATACGTAAAAAATAAAATGAAACAGTATCGAATGTAAAAGTAAGTCACCACCGATGTTGTTTTGGAACTTAATAACTTAATGTATTTTTACTCTCCTTTCTCCTCCTGCGTTCTTCCCTTCGTATAATAATATCGTACTTGCTAGACAATGTGAAATTTAATTTAATGACAACTGGATATAATGTAGTTAGATTCATTCATGCGTGCTTTTTTTCCCTTTGTCTTCTTCTCAAACCTTGGTTTCATTTTTCATGTTTTTTTTTTTTAGCGATATTTTAGATGGTAAATAGTGAGCAGATCCTGGGAGTGACAGTGTTTTCTTTTTTTTTTTTTAATGGTTATTCTTCGCATCCCGTGTCTCGTCCCAACGATATCAATTTTCTTTTTTTTTTTTTTGTTTTTACGGCACCTCTTCCCCAACGCACAATTTTCTTCGCGTGCCCTCGTTTGGATTTAGGCCCCGGGGGGCACACAAGCGTCGAAGCAACGTGCGTTTCTACGTTCCTCCTTGCTTGCAATTGAAGACATAGACTATGTCTTTTCAATCGTAAGACATGGAAGGCCATAGAAACGGACGTCGTCTCGACGCTCGTGTGCCCCCAAACCTTATAGTCGCCTTATTCGTTTTCCCCGTGCATCATGTTTCTCGACAACGTCGTACGACGAGACAGAGTTTGCGAAACAATACTCTTCCTGTCCTTTCCTCTGTTCATCCACAATTTGCTCCTTCCTACGCTTCCGTACACCGGGGAGTAAAAAAGCTGTCGCGAGGTCACTGCGCGCGCATAGACGCGGAGAAGCTTCAGATTTATGGAATTACACTGGCAAACATCGTACGTTCCACCACCTGGGGAGACACACCCATATATTATTCCAACAATCGAAAGGCTTTTTTACGCATTGCGACAGCTTTGTTGCTCCCCGCTGTACAAACACGGAGCAGACGCGTTCTTCTCGGAGAATTTTCGTGCCAGAGACTGGGCAAATTTTACCGCGGATTCGATCGTTTTCCTTCGTCGAGGACCGTGGACACAGCGACGCAGTCGCTTTTGAAAACTGAGCCAAATTTCCCCGAATTTGCTTTCCCTTCCGATCTTCGTTTACGATTGAAACTTTTACATTTTCGATCCCGTACCTCTGCCCCTCCCATCGAGAAGTGTACACGCGATAATCGTTCGGTCCTCGAGGAGAGGATAAACGGTCGAGAACGCTGGGATTCTCGCGTCCCAGACTTTCGAACCGGGCGTAACAGCTGTGGTGGTGTGCGGCGGTCGCATTGGGACAAAGAGGTCAGTATTCGCGGAGGAGATTAAGGAAAAAAGGGGGGTCTCGGAGCGGTGACGGTGGTATTGCGACTTTGTGGAAGGAAGGAAAGGAGACGTGGGAAGATGGACAGAGTGGTAAAGGTAGACCAGGTAGGTAAGTAGAGATAGAAAGGTGTGTCGGTGTTATGTACGTGTACGTGTACGTGTGTTTGTCCGTATGCGGGGAGAGACAGGGGTAGTGAAAGGAAGGAAGAAGGAAACGAGGTACGCGAGGGGACGAAAGGACAGGTGAATGGATAAATCGATCTCGGGTGGATGGATGGGTGAGCACTTCAAGGGACGGGGGGACGATAGAGAATAGGATGTTCTTATTAGGTTAGAAAGGACTTAAGTTTAGGAAGGTTAGTTGTCGCCGACCTCCTGTTGCTCGTCCGGCTCACCCTGCGTGTCACTGGTCCAAAGAGTGAGGTTGTCTCGCAAAAGTTGCATGATGAGCGTGGAATCTTTGTAGCTGTCTTCGTTAAGTGTGTCCAACTCCGCGATCGCGTCGTCGAACGCCTGAAACGTGCACAGAAAAGTCAATCAGGGTTACGAAACAACGTTCTGTTGTTCCTCGTTCGTTCGATTGTTGCTACGACGCGAATTTACTTCGTGCAAGATAGCAAGAATAGAAAATTGTACATGTGTACGAGGAGGTTAATGAAAAACACGAGCGATGCAAAGAATAGTTATTGATACAGTGGAGACACGTAATTGCAATCATCACACCACAACAAACATTGTATTGTTTCTTTCTCTTCTCTCTTTTGAATGGGTTAGTAAAGAAAAAACTCAAAAACGTACTTGCTGTAAGATGTACACGGCACACTGGTGTTATACGAGCTATGCTTATTTTCTTTGAGGTTATCACTCTCGAAAGATTTACACGAAGGAAAAACCAAGCGTGAAGAGAATTCTCTCGTTTGGGAGAAAAAAAAAAAAACCCTAACCTGTTTAGCCAGGTGACAAGCCCTAGCTGGAGAATTAATAATTTCATAGTAAAAAACGGAGAAGTTCAGAGCAAGACCGAGCCTGATGGGATGCGTAGGCTGCATCCTTGATTTTGCAATGTCAAACGCCTCTTGGTATGCCTTCTGTGAATCCTCGACTACCGCTGCAATGCAAACCGGGGAATCCAGATTACAACTTCCACAAAATTTAATGCACAACGGGACACGTTAAACGCTTTCGTCGATGCATTTACTTTGGGAACAGGAATGGACACCTGGCGGAGAAGGAGATCCTTGCGGGCACGTGTCGTTTAAAAACGCGACGAGATCTTGATCTACGAATTTTGCACGGAGAAAAATCTATCCCTCCACCAGTATGACAAAGCGAAGTTATTATTTTTTTTTTTTGCCTCCACTGCACCACTACACCATCCTTGAGCATCCTCACGCAACCGTGAACCTCGCTTTCGCGAATTATACCTGTTTGGCCAGCTGGCAGGCCTTGTCTGGTGAGTTGAGGATCTCGTAATAGAAAACGGAGAAGTTGAGGGCGAGACCTAGCCTAATCGGATGAGTAGGCTGCATCTTTGACTTGCTGATTTCGAACGCATCTTGGTATGCCTTCTGGCTGTCGTCTACCACAGCTGAATATATATATTTATATGTTACGTGTAAAATTATCAGCAGGGTTTTAAAACATCCTAGGTTCGGTGCATTTTCAAATTTCAAACCCCTGAACTGGTATCGTGGAGTACTTTGACATTGTTCAAAATGACTAGCATATGAGAACAATGTAATATTCTGTTGATTCTCTGAGCAAGTTAAATGATTTTTCTCTTCACAGACTGTTGCATGTACTGAGAAACTAAATATTTTATTAACTTTTGTGTGAATACCTCACCATACCAGTTAAAAGCGTTATAGCGATGAAACCCCGAAAATGCAGTTTTTATTATTCTATTATTATTATTTGGATGGTTATTATTGTAAAATTTGGACACGATATCAACGATACATTTCTCAACAAGAGAACAAGAGTTTTAGTATAGAAACGATCCTAGGTTTGACCATGGATTGTATACCGTGCCACGTGTTACGGAATTCTTTAAATCCATCCAAATCTAACAATATGCCAGGGGCACTCTAAGTCGAACATCTGCCGTTGCAGCTGTGCTGCTTCTTTCACAAGGTGGCGGGTGCACAGGTATGGCGGCGTATTGTGCACCTTTAACGAAGAAAGAAGCGCGTCGACCTACCTCGTGGCAAATACTTTGGGACTAGAAACGTGTCCCTTTCCAAAGACACGGACAAACCGTACCTACGCGTGTGAACGAGGGAGTGGCGTCTTTGGACGTACTACCAGTGCTTTTCGAGTCGATAATATATGGATCTCGATCGAATTGAGAAAGCAAATGTCATGATTAACTAGAATAAGGAAGTTGGAGTTAACGCTTGATCACGCTGCTGCAACGTACGTACCGTTTCTTGTTTCTCCTGTGGCGACTTCTGCGAGATACCTGTAGTAGTCGCCCTTCATCTTGAGGTAGAATACTTTACTCTCGGCATTGCTAGCCTTGGGGATCAGGTACTTATCGAGGAGTCCCTACAACAACAACCGGCATAATTAGTCGTATACACGTACAGTTCATTTATAAACGCAAGTTAAAAACATAAATATAGTTCACGTTTTAACATGAACAGGTCTGGGTAGTGTGGGACAATCTTAAAATACAAGTTACCTTAACATAAATATAAGTTAAAGAATTAAATAAAGAATGACCTACATTTTTTAGTTTAACTCGAATTACTTTTACCATTGGGACAAAATTATACAGGGTGTTCAGAACAACCCTGGGAAAAATTTTAATAGGAGATTCTAGAGGTCAAAATAAAACGAAAATCAAGAATACCAATTTGTTGATGGAGGGTTCATTAAAAAGTTATTAATGTTTAATGTTCCGCCCGTAATGAATTTTTTTCTCGAAAACGCGCACGATTTTGGGGGTATGTCTATTCACCAAAAATGATTGTAATTAACTCCCCTAGCTAAGAATAATTTTTTTAGAACGATTTGAAATTTTTTGATTTCGCTGAAAATTTCACACCTTCTCGAATTTTTTTCTAGAAAATGGATAGGATTTCGGGGGTAGGTCTATTTACAAAAAATGATTGTAATTAACTCTCCTAGCTAAGAATAATTTTTTTAGAACGATTTGAAATTTTTTGATTTCGCTGAAAATTTCACACCTTCTCGAATTTTTTTCTAGAAAATGGATAGGATTTCGGGGGTAGGTCTATTTACAAAAAATGATTGTAATTAACTCTCCTAGCTAAGAATAATTTTTTTAGAACGATTTGAAATTTTTTAATTTCGCTGAAAATTTCACACCTTCTCGAATTTTTTTCTAGAAAGTGGATAGGATTTCGGGGGTATGTCTACTGACCAAAAATGATTGTAATTAACTCTCCTAGCTAAGAATAATTTTTTTAGAACGATTTGAAATTTTTTAATTTCGCTGAAAATTTCACACCTTCTCGAATTTTTTTCTCGAAAATGCGCAAGATTTCGGGGGTATGTCTATTCACCAAAAATGATTCTAATTAACTCCCCTAGCTAAGAATAATTTTTTTAGAACGATTTGAAATTTTTTAATTTCGCTGAAAATTTCACACCTTCTCGAATTTTTTTCTCGAAAATGCGCAAGATTTCGGGGGTATGTCTATTCACCAAAAATGATTCTAATTAACTCCCCTAGCTAAGAATAATTTTTTTAGAACGATTTGAAATTTTTTAATTTCGCTGAAAATTTCACACCTTCTCGAATTTTTTTCTCGAAAATGCGCAAGATTTCAGGGGTATGTCTATTCACCAAAAATAATTCTAATTAACTCTCCTAGCAAAGAATAATTTTTCCAGAATGATTTGAAATTTTTGAATTTAATTGTTAATAACTTTTTAACGAAGCCTCCATCAACAAATTGGTATTCTTGATTTTCGTGTTATTTTGGCCTCTAGAATCTCCAATTAAAATTTTTCTCAGGGGTGGCTGAACACCTTGTATAACAGGATATTGGTGAACATTGAAAAGTAAATTTCAACAGAAATAATCTTGATTTTAGAATAGCAATGTTTATTCTGAAACGACACGAACTGAACATTCCAATTCCGAAGATTTCAGAACATTTTACGTCTACGAATAACGTCAATCCATTTAGGGTCACAAAATACGGCTGTTTCTGACAGCAAAGGTACGCACAACTACTCGAACAGGCGTGTCGTTTCCTCTTCCATTTCCCGTCTACTAGCGAATATTTGTAACATTTGTTTCCTCTCGTCGAGCACCGGTGCAAACAGCTCTTCAAAACGATGCCTTTCAAGTTGTCGCAAAATTATTATACACAGTGTTCGTCTTTGTTATAGAAATTAAAAAAAACGTTAAACTTTAAGTCGATTTTATTCGAAATCCAAGACTCAAATATGAAGTGTATAAATCAAACTATACTAAAGTCAAATGACGACGGCTCTCGGGTTACTGATGAGTCATCAAAGCAGAAAAGTAAAATATTTACATTTCTTACTGCGTCTTTCTAAGACTGGCTTGATAATCGAATTCATGAGATTCTTACGGCGAAAATGTTATCGAGCGTGAGCACGTACGATCGATTACGAGTTACACAATAGTTATCACGTTTTGAAACACTTTATGCAAGTAGAGCAATTTAGAATAATTTAGTGTGTTTAAAATTTATAGTTTGTGGTCCCTTTACCACGCTCGCTGGATGACGAGAAAAGATCTCGTAAGACGAGCTACGTAGAGGAACCCCGTAATTGATACGCGTGAAATTCAAACCAGAGGGATGATCCCCGCCTTCTAGCTCTTGAAATAAGCGAACGCGACAAAGATGATGTGTTGTAGTAAAACGATCTCATCGCCGAAAGCCAGGTATTGCGAACGGGGTCTCAACGGCTAAAACATCTCGTTTTTCATTTTTATTCGTCGTGTCTCTTCCTAAAAAAAAAAAGTATCGATCCTACAGTTTATTCAATTAAATATCGAACAATGGAACCCGCTACCTTCGATCGAATATTTACGAACAATAAATTTTCAACATTGGAAAAATAATAATTAACTGTAAAATATATATTTCTGTTGTAACAGTGAACGTTACAATTCTGAAAACACGTACAAAAATGAAGTACGCTTGCGAAGACCCGAATGGAAATTAGAGACCGATGGAACAGCGAACAATGGCGCAACAAAGAGTTTTTCGACCGTGGATAATTATGAAACATTTTGTTGAATTGGAACGAGCCCAAAAACGACGACTCGCGGAAGCGAAACGCGCCACGAAGATTCCACGCACAACGGCACATCTGGATATAATTGCAACGCAATTAGAAAACAGGTTTCAAAGACGCAAGATAAAGAGTTCGTTCGACCTTACTCGGTGCAGCAGGAAAGCCGTTCTGCCTTGAACCGTCGGTCAACGAGACCAACTAGGGTCCACGCGCTTCTATTCGCCGGAACGAACGCGAGAATACAAAATACCGTGCGCGTGCGTTGAGAATTTTACACGGAACACGCACGCGAGATACCGAGGTAATTGTCCACCAAGCGCCTCGAGAGACGAACGGACGAACGTAAACGGAATGTAGAATAGCGTCGAGAACCCGTGGATTCTTTTCTTTACGTATCGCTCTCGATCGATCCATTGCAATGCAATTGAGAGGTTTACGACAACAAGGAGGCAGCATCGCTTTTGACATATTTTCTTTTTACGCAGCAATGCTTGGACAGCTGCGAGTCATTTTCGATCGAATAAGTGAACGATAGCCATCCCCCCTCCCCCCTTGACAAGCCACCGAAGCTCGAGACGTTAAGCGGACCGTGCAGCGTAACCCGATCCGGGCTCAAATGTCCACCAGACAATACATATATTCCTGCGACTCCGTGGAACAACCTCTTAAAATAGCAAAACGTTCGAAAATCTCGAAGATGTCAATAAACCATCTACGAGTGTATTCTGATTTTGAACAAAGTATTTAGAAATCTAAAATCGAAGAGCTCGTCGTTCTTCGCCGGACGTAATATCCGACGACATTCGCAACAAGCCATTTATTATCAGGGTCAAGATTAAAAACAGTTTGCAATTTAGACACAAAAAACGCGGAGCAAAATAAGCTCTTAAAGTTTCTGACACCTGTTGCCATATACCCTATTAACCTTCCGAGTGCAACAACCGTACTATGTAACAATCCACCAAACCTTCGTTGGTTCTCGACACATAACCGTATAGTTTTACGTTCATGAATCAAATTTTACCGCCACTTTTTCTATTAGGTAACCTCAAACGTACAGGTTATTACGAAAGTGGCCCAAAGTCGTGTATCTTCCGTTTCGAGATTTGAAGGTTAGGTTCGACCATAGAAAACAGTTTTCCATCGCAGCACCAAAAATACTAGGGTTCGTAGGGGCCAAAGAGGAAGCGTAGGAGAGCAAGAATTCCGAGAAGGACGCGCGGAAGAAAGGTGAAGGCGATCAACGGATCGGAAGAAGGAGTTCTTACCAACACGTCGTAACAGATCTCGCGCAGCTCCTTCTCCACCTTTTCCCGGTATTCCTTGGCCATCTGCTGCTTACGTTCTGAACCCTCCGTCTTTTGCTCGATGGAGGAGATTACTCGCCACGAGCTACGTCTCGCCCCGACAACATTCTTGTACGCTACCGACAGTAGATTCCTCTCCTCGTTCGACAACTCTACTCCTGTCTCGGTAACCGCCTTCATGGCGGCTGCCATGTCGTCGTACCTTTCCGCCTGCTCGGCAAGCTTCGCGCGTTGTACCAATTCCTCCTTGTCCACGGACATTGTGTCGTCTGAAAAAAAACAAAATCACGAAACCACTGAGTACAGAATATTTCATTTATAATACATTCTTTCATATAATCCCGATCAACTATCTGTCAATCCCTTGCCTTAGAATATCGAGCAGGAAACATCGAATTTATAGAAGGAACAACGGATAAGATAAAACATCTAACAAGAGGACCAATGCCAACGCCATCTACTTCGATTTTAACGAACTTTTAAAGCAATCCTACGAAATTACTAGAAACGTCACTGATTTGTCCGTTGTATTTTTATTTATTTCATAATGAAGGCCATACTATTCGAAAACTGAGTCAATTTCCTACGTTCCTTCTGTGACTAAGATTATTGTTGTTTAAATTGAACGTTTTGCGGTATATTTTCTCGGTAACTGTGCTATCGCGTCGGTTTCGCGTCGCAGTTACATTCGAAGAAATTCAAAACCGCCGTCAATTACTGGTGACAAAACAGGACGGTACGAGAGACTCGAGACGAGTGACGCGGATGGTCGTTTGTATCGTGTATGTGTAGAATGGCGGCGTAAACGGAGCACAGCACAATGCCCAACGCTCGCGGCTTCAATGTCGCCAAGTATGTACCTTTTGTCGTCCGTGTCCGGTAGTCGCGCACACACGCGAATCGTACGTGAGAATAGATCGGCACAGACGCGTTTAGAACAAGATGACGTACGCTGTCGGTCGTGCAGAACGCAGTCTGGCCTCTTTATAGACGGGTCATGCAACGTAACGATTTTTCGTCTAATAATTTGTACAATTCGTCCAAAGGTTTAACGCTTAGGATACAATACCCTCGTACAATAGTATTATGATCGTACAATCTCTTACAAATTCGAGTATTTAAGAACACGTGATTAAAATATTATTGGAAAAAAAGAACAACAAAGTTACAAAATATTTACGAAAGCGTTGTCAGATTGCTCAAGCTTGCCTTCCGGCATATTTGAATGCGATTGCCTCGAAACCGTTTTCTTTGAATTAGCTGCCAAGATTTCTAAATGAACATGTTGACTTTAAATTATTAGAAGAAGCATATAATTATATTCAGCATACCGCTTTCACTGAATCTTCAGATATATGACTCATAGTATAGCTAAAATTATTGTTAAAACGTGACGAATTTGTCTCGGCCATGTTAGAAGCATTTACCTGGCAGGAAAGTTGGGACATTGTCAACGCGACGACCCTGGCCGCAAAGAAATTCCAAAAAGGAATCGCAGCGTTTCAATTTTAAAAGACTCTACGACCTACGTTACACACCCACGCAGCACACGGTGTGACAAACGAGCAATTCTCCCGTTCTTTCTTCAACACGAATTATTACGAAAAGGCACACGTGCCAACAATGTGTGCTGATGAGCAAAATTTTATCACCAAATAGCAAACAGTCATCGAAACTTAAAATTTTGACGTGTCCGTTTCGAAATATTTCATCGTACGACTGGAATTTTAATTTACGTTTAACGAGTGACTAATCCACGCGATGTTATCCGTACACGAATGAACCGAACCTAGATGAACGAGCAGAGTTAATTAACGTCGCTCCCACTCAACGCGCGAGAACGTTCAATTTCGTTTCGAACTCCTTCGTTCGTTTCTTCTCCCGAATGTACGCACACACCTGGCCGTGGGAACTCGGTTGGAACCATAAAAGCGAGATTGAAAAACAAGAAAGCCATTTAGACGTAACGAAACGAATACGAGAGTGGAGTAACGTTTCCGGTCAATTACCGAACGCAGCGAGCGCCACCTTGCTGCGTAGCTAACCACCTGACGCAATAATGATCGCGAAGCGAAACAAGCACCATTGACCACCGATGGGACTGGCACGATATTGACGATATATTCCGAGCAATTCGATGCCGAAGTACCCACTTGAAACGTTCGTTACTATCGTAGCCAAATGGCTACACTAATACTCGTATTAGAACACTTGTCAATCGTTAGACTACTGTAACTCCGTGAAAAGAGGTTGCACATGAAAAGATTACATCGAACTTCGTGTCATATTTTACTGATTCTCCAAACCAATTTAATCTCGTCTTCTCTCCTAATTAAGAATAACGTGTTAAAATTACTACTTATAGAATATATAAAATTTAATGTTCTGAAAAACTAAGATTTGAGGTTATACCGAGACACTTTTGAGGTTATACCGAGTTTAACAAAATTAACAAAAGCGCCCTAGAGTTTTAGGCGTAGAATTCTTTAAAGATATTAAAGAATTATTCCCATCACTGCGGATTCTTTTGTCCAAGCGTTTCGTTTATCCACGAGCGATCAACTCTCCGAGCCGGAATCGATCGTTTTACTTTCGAACGCGTGCATCCTCGACGGAGGCTCGATAAAGGGCAGCGGCGCGGCGCCTCCTGCGATTACCAGCTATAGCATCGACCTAATAAACATGTCGCTAGCCTAACTCGCGTCTCCCGAACGCGTTGACAGGTTGTCGAACCCGCCTGCGCTTGAAGGTCTCTCGACGCAAAGATTCAGAAATAATTATTCGATTTTATCGACGTCTACCATTGAGTGCGTGTAACGCTACAAAATATTTCTACCTTTCACATTGTAATTTTGAGGTTAAAGAATGAATTTTAACTTTGTATCCGGAGATACAAATGTATGCGTTTTGCAACTTTCATTTTGTTGACACTCCCTATTCATGAAAGGTCTGCTTAAATTCTCGCGTTGCAAAGAGTTACATTTCAGTTAGTTTACAAAGGTTAACCCCCTCTGATGCATAAACGTGCCCGATCGTGTGCCTAATGTAGACGATCCCAGTAAAGTTCAACGAGGCAATTTAGGGGATTTGCGAATGTTCTCTCATCGAAGTAACAGAGACGAACAAAATTTTAATCTTGAACAGAGTTCTATTCTAATGGAACTTTCCTAGTGTCTTCTAGTTCATAGGGAATTTTATGCCATCGGGACGACGAGAAAGAAAAATATCACCGATGATTAATACTCGCGGCGGGTATGATAATCGGTGGACGCGACGCGCATGAACGGAGACGATTGTCGACGCAACGATCTCTCTAGCGTGGGTATAATCGTATGGCAACGATGAGTCATTGCATCGGACTGCATTACGACGGCAAAATGTAGGCAACAGCGTCGCGGGCGTCGTGACCGCTAAATGCTTTATTCGGCGATCTTGTTCGCGAGACGAAGATTAGCAGAATTCTTATCCACGTACAAATTTCAATTACAAAATGAAACGTAAAAGATCGTGTCGCTAATATATAGGTGGCGTGGCAGTCAAAGTATGAAAGGGAGGTATTAATTTTTCTTTTTTTAGGTCAGAACAATCGATTATTTTTCTAACGAGTATACAGTATCCAGAACACGCAGATTAATTATTATAAAAAAATTTGAAATACGAAGGATGTAAAAGAGATTCAAAGTAGGTTGTGCACGGGTGGAAAATGACCTGAAACGAGTCTTTAAACGAGTTTCCCTCGAAACAGTGTTTTAGAAAATGGCTTCCGAGATATTGGATAAAGTAATTGATCAATTGACTTGAAATTTTATATAGATGTTCTATAAACACCCCTCCATAGCACGAACCAAGGCTTATAAAAATATCTGACATAGTTTTTCTACAAAAATAAATTTAAGTTGCAAAATGTCTTGAAAATCGATATTTGATACGTTACAACGTAGCCATTTTAATATATTCTCTGTTTTAATGACTCCGGGCACGAAAAAAGGGTCAAAATCTTCTAGAGATCACTTCCTCAAAAGTTTAATTTTATAATGTTCTTATTTGTTAAAATTGTGAGTTAATTGTATCATACTTCGAGGTATCGTATCTTTTGCCATGTCATAGTATTAATAATGTCGCTCAAACACGTGTTTCTATCTTGCTTCACAAACAAAATTCTCATGAGTGTTTTCCTCTGTTCGAATGAAACCAAAGATTGGAAAGAATCATCTTATCGCAATACCTGATACGATGTACAATCACTGCTCTAACAATTATCTAATCGAATACACAACAAATTACGTTGCATTTCTTTGCTTTATACAATGTTGAATTTTACTTTGGCGGTTCACAGTATGTGCATGTATAATTGGTGGATGAAAAGGTTATTTAAAATTACGCTTTTCAAGACACACTTAAAAATCATCGGAATTGGTAAGGAGAGATTAAAAAAACAACTCGAGCCAACTAATTAAAATTGAGAGAAGTCACTGAACTGTAGCGAGTAGCTATTGTTTTAGACACGAGAATTTACATGGAAGGGGACACATAGATGGCGTCTAGAATTTATCGTAAGTGTCTCCCCCGAGCATCTGTGTCCTTTCAAGCTCTGGTGGGAATCACGTTTAATTAGAAAGAATCCGTGGAATCGGCCTGGCTAGTTTTTTTACCCCACAGGCGTATCGTGATTCTTCTGCGGTGAGTCACGAGCACTCCGGGGACGGTGGATACGTAAGTGTGTACGCGCACGCGCGGACACGGGAAGTGCGCGACCGCGACCGCGGGTCTTTCTCGCTGAACCAAATAATTGTGCTCAAGGATGAAACGCAACTACACCGGAAGCTACGATACACGCTGTCACCTTACACGACGCTGTACGGGGACGAGTAACGTTTCATTCAACTCTCTATCCCGCGTTGTACTACTCTCTCGTATCGATTCGGAATTCTTTCGACCGAAGATATACGCTCGCGCGAATAGCGTGCAAGTCACGGTGTTCGACGTTGCTCAACGAGATCTGCGTTCCGTGCAGCGCCAACAGTTGGCTCGCTCTCGGAATGTGTCTGCCATTGGCCGGGCGCCGGCACAATGAAACAACATATCCAATATATCGTAATATTCAAGGTGGTCAGTTATCCGACCACCGTCTACAATACCGTAACAATAATTTGTACAATAAACATATCAATACAGATACAATTTCAAAAACAAGTTTCAGAAAATTGAAAGAATTTTTTCTTCCTCGTTAGTATCGAAGAATAATGTTGATACGATTTATAAAAATAGA